CACTTTCGAATGGCCCTCACCTTTGCCTTATCCATCATCAACTTGCCATCCCGTATCTTATGCCCTAGGAACAACACCTCCTCTTGGGCAAAGGAGCATTTCTCTATTTTCACATATAGGTCGTTCTCCTGTAGGACTTGGAAGACCGCCCTTAAGTGCTGCACGTGCTCCTCTAAAGTGGTGCTATACACAACAATATCATCTAAGTACACCACTACAAAGCGATCCAAGTAGGGATGGAAGAGCTTGTTCATCAAAGTACAGAAAGTAGCTGGTGCATTGGTGAGGCCAAACGGCATAACAAGAAACTCATAGGAGCCATACCTCGTCACACACGTAGTCTTAGGCTCATCCCCGTCCGCTATCCGCACCTGGTAGTACCCTGAGCGCAAGTCAAGCTTAGTGAAGTAGCGTGCTCCACCAAGCTGATCAAAGAGATCGGCAATGAGAGGAATGGGGTACTTGTTTTTGATAGTCACCTTGTTGAGCGCCCGGTAGTCGATGCACATGCGCAAGGACCCGTCCTTCTTCCTTTGGAACAACACCGGTGTGCCATATGGGGCCTTCGATGGTCGAATATAGCCCGCATCTAACAGTTCCTTAAGTTGCCTCCGCAACTCCTCCAACTCTGGAGGTGCCATCCGGTAGGGCACCAAAGCAGGGGGTTTAGAACCCGGTTCCAGCTCAATCTTATGATCTACCTCCCTCCTAGGTGGAAGCTTCTTGGGCAGCTCCTTAGGTATCACGTCCGTGTACTCGTCTAGCACGGCTCGTATCTCCTTAGGCACCTCTTCTTGTGGGGAAGGGACTAGCTCATCTTCGGGTGTCTCCAGTAACGTAGCAAGGTAGCTAGTCTCTCCCTTCTTGAAGCCCTTCTTGAACTGCATAGCTGACAAAGCTTGGGCTTCCAACTTGGCGCCTCGCTCCACCGGCACCATGCATGCTGTGTTGCCTTCCATAATACACATAGTGTTAGCAAAAGGAATGGGGAAGGCTCTCACCTTGTCTAAGAACTCCAACCCAAGGACTAGTTTGAAGTCGTCCATGGGTATCATCGATAGATCTATGTGGCCACCCCACTCGCCAATGCATGCTTAGACGCCGTGTGCCATGCCATGTATAGCCTTTGCTGCCGAGTTAACTGCCTTCATGGAGCCCCCTTCTTTGCTATACTTGAGGCCCAACCTCTTGGCCTCGTCAAGGCTCACAAAGTTGTGGGATGCACCCGTATCCACCAAAGCACGTGTGGGTGTCCCATTGATGCTCGCCTCCACGAACATTAGCCCTTTAGCCGCCGCCTTAGGGACTTCAGTTTTAGCCTTGATGGCATTAAGGATTTGTAGTAAACCCATCTGCGCCTCCTCCTGTTGTTGCTCTTCATAGCGGCTCATCATGGCATTGAGGGTCTTCCGCTTTGGGCAATCTCGTACCCAATGTGGTCCGTCACATATGAAGCAAGAACCCTTAGGCTTGGGTGCTCCTTCTTTGTTCTCCCTTCCCTCTTTGCCTCCATGGCCACCACCTGGCTTACGGGACCAATCCTTGTGGGGTGCAGCGCCCTTGTCTCCCCCACCTTTGCAGGCATACCTTCCCTTGTCCTTGTCTTTGTCTTTTGGCTTGGACGAGGGTTCCTTCTTGGAGCTAAAATCAATAAAGGACTCCGCCTCTGCAATAGCTGTGGCAAGGTCTTGCACGTTGCGCCGCCTCAACTCCGTCTTAGCCCACAACTGCAATCCATCCATGAAGAAGAAAAGAGAGTCCTTGTTGGATAGATCCGGGATCTCAAGAGTCAAGTTAGTGAATTCCTTCACATAGTCCCGAATTGACCCAACTTGTTTTAGCCTTCGGAGTCTGCCCCTAGCTTCATCCTCGGCATTCTCAGGATAAAAATGCTTCTTAATTTCCCTAGTGAAATCAGCCCAAGTATCAATAGAGACCGTACCTTTGCCTATGTTACCATACTTTTTCCTCCACCAAAGCATGGCATGGTCGATGAGGTAGTGGGTCGCCGTGCGTATCTTGATCGTCTCATCGGTCATGCCCGTAGCCTCAAAGTATTGCTCCATGCTGAAGAGGAAGTTCTCCAACTCCCTCGCTACCCGGTTCCCACCATAGCACTTAGGCTTGGGAATATCAACCCGGGGTGCTACTACCCCCGTAGTAGCTGTGCCGGACGCCACCGCCCGTTTGCACAATGTCCAATCCGCTCGCATTTCCTCCATTTTGTCACATCCCGCAAGCAAGAGGCTATGCCACGCAGGCGCCACGCAGACGCCCAGCAGACGATGACATGGAGCCTGCATGAACTGGAGCTTTCTAGACTTCTCTACACAAATATGGAACTTTCTGGAATTCTCTAGATTAGTGTGGAGTTGTCTAGCCTTTTCTAGACTTGTCTAGAGTTGTATAGAATTCTCTAGACTTGTCTTGTACATAGTAGATAGTTCTAGTGTTGTGTAGATATTTCTGGAGGATTCTAGACACTAAATCTAGGCCACATATTTGTACACATCTAGAATGTTCTTGTAAGGCCAAAGGCCTATAAATAGGAGGTGAGAGTTCATTTGCACCTCACCAAGCAACCAAGTTGTAATCTCTCCTCTCAAGCAATACAAGTTCTATACATTTCCAAACTCTCTTGCTCACTTGCCTAACCTCTTCCTACACACCCAAGTAAGCAAAACACTTGTCTAGCCTTAGTCTTCACTAAGCTAGCACACTCGGGTAGGCTGACTTAGCGCTTCAAGGGGGCTTGAAAGTGTCTAAGGCCGCACGGTAGCTTGAAAAGGTTCAAGTCCGTGACAGTTGGTATCAGAGCTAAGGTCGTGAGGCGTCACAACTTGTGTGGAGGAAGCTATAGCGGAGCTATCAGACGTGACTGGCACCCAAGAAGAGACTCTACGTGGAAGGGAAACAAATCCCCCTCCAGGCGGAGTGAGGACGAGGGCTAGGTCGAAGGACATCATGGCAGGCTTAGAGGCACGTGTGGCAATGATGGAGGGGTCCATAGCCAACGTGTTGGAGCAATTTGAGGATGCTCACCAGCGCATGGATGGGCTGGAGTCGGAGGACGTTGAGGTCCAAAATGCTGTCAAAGGGTTACTCAATGCCCTAAGTGGTGACTTTCGGCAGGAGCTCCAAACACTTCGAGAACTTATGTTGGGGGAGTTTGCCACCCTACGTGGTTATGTTGATCAGGAGCTTGGCACTTTCCGCGAACAAATTGTCACGATCTGATTCCTAACGACGCCATGAGCATAGAAGATACGCATGCTGGTTGGCTAAGAACATTCATTGACTGGGAATGGTTCCAGGGAAGGGGCGTGCAGGACCACAGAATGGTACCTCTTCAGAGTTCAGGCAGGTCGACTCGGTTCAGTTCGAGGTGCTTGTCGCTGGTCGTGGACTTGACTATGAAGAAGGGAGTTGGCCATCCCTGCACAAACTGGTCGGGAGCTGGAGTCGTTCCCCTGACGAGGCCATGGCAGGCCGAAACCAGTCAGCATGTATCCTTGGGAGGGCAGGTCGTGGTGGCTGACCAGGGCGCTTGCGCGAGCTGAAGCAACGCCTTGGTGCCGCACGGGCCGTGCCGCTGCGCCAAATCTCTAGGCCCGTGACATTAAGGAGAGTTTAAATCTTCATAAAAACACATTATTATTGAATAGTGTTGTATTCTAATCAATATATGTCAAATTTTTTTACCTCTAACAATAATAATTTATTATTGTTATAAAATCAATGAGATACTGATTATTAACATTTATTATTATTTTCAATTAATAGGTCAGGAATGCCAATACCAAGCCATTGGAATTAAGCTATAAATGTATCACTTAGGGCTTGTTCAGTATAACATTTACGTCTGTTTTTATAGAGAAGAAAAAGAGAAGGAGACGTTATCGCTTTCATTTGGCTCACAAGTGAGTGTTTAGAAACTTATTTTCGAAGAGCTTAAAGTCCGAAAGGCTTTCAAACGAGTTGTTAAAGTTCTTCTACTATTGAAATGATTATTTTATCCTTAACTAGATTGTTTTGAACTGCTTTTTCAGATTATTTGATAATATAAAGTAGTTAACTTATTTTTTTTATACAACTATTTCTTAAGCACCGTACAAATAAATTCAATTCAAATTTAATGGGAAAGTTATTATTACACAATGGTCAATTGTCAAATTGTATAACATTTACTTTATTAGAAAATAAAGAAGAATGATTATAAAATCATTGTATGGCAACAATCTAAGCAAGATCTATCCCATTCTACAAGCAACCTATATAAAGAATAGAGCAAATAAAGAATTCGAAACAACAGTATCATTATTCAATTTATTAAATGCAAATAAATATCTCCACTTGCCTACATGGAAAAAAAAGAACACTATCTAACACAAGTCATGCTTGCGCAAAGTGCAAATTTGTTAATCACACTAGTGGACAGCAAGTCCCCTCTTTCTTGGGCAAGTTGAACCAAGTGGGGACTCTTAAAAGTTCCAACTCCTTTTTCATTTGTTCTTCACCAGTGGACGGCAGCAAGTTTGGTAGATGAAACGAGTCTCTGCTGGTGATCCCAATTCCCAAACATTTCTTTAGTTGATGACCAAACCTCACTATCAATATCCAAAGTCATAACTACTCAATTTATTATTAACCAAATAAAATACCCCTTGCCCCTTATTTTTTTGAACTTTTTTAAAAAAAACATCTGCTTGCAAGGGTATTTTAGTAAATGGCCATACTATTTCAAAACTGTTTGTTTGAAAAGATGAAGTCGTTTCAGTTCAGTCCATTGTCATTTATCTTTATCCGTCTATCTTTATCTTTATTTTAAAAAAGGAAAAAAAACAGAGATACTCTACCCGTAGCTTTTTTCAATTACCATCTTTATCCTCATTTCCCCGCACAACTAGCGGATAAGACAAGACTAAAATGGTCCTTTTATTAAGAAATTAATAAATGTGGGTATTTATGTCATTTTAGTATTATATAGAGAGAGAGAGAGAGAAGACAGTGTGTGTGTGCGTGTGAGAGAAAGAGAGAGGGGGAGAGAGAGACAGAGAGAAGAAGAGAGAGAGACAGAGAGTGAGCAGAGAGGAACCGTTGGAGAGTCCGTTTTTTCTGTTAATATATGAAGGTAAAACCATGGTGTCTGACCAAGAGATAGCCAAAGGTGTTGAGACTGTGCTCCGTCAATCCGACCCTAACGCCGTTACGTCACTCAACGGCGTCGTTCAGCAGCTGGAGGCGAAGCTAGGGTTGAACCTGTCCCACAAGGCCGGCTTCATCAGAGACCAGATCAACCTTCTTCTCCGATCACACCCACTACCTCAGCCACCAAAAGACCATTTTGCCCTCCAACACCATCCTCAGTTCCACAACACCCACAACACCCACCACCCCCAATTCCCTCCCCATTTTGCCCTTCAGCACCACCACTTTCATCACCATCCACGGTCGGAGGAACTCAACTTCCACAACCCTCTGACACCGCAAACACCGACGCCGCCTACACATCTACAGCAGCCGTTGCAGTTCCAGGCACAACCTCCGCAGGTGACGAAAGCAGAACCAAATGTTCAGAATGCGGCCTCTAATGCCTCCGCAATGCGAAAAGAAAGGTATTATTTTTCCATTTATCTGTTAGAATTGAGGTTTCTTGGGGTTTTGTTTTTGTAAATTTTGGGGTTATGATTAGGGTTACCATTGCCCTGCGATGAAAATGAATTTTGTTTTTCTTGAGGTAAACTTTTAGTTACAAAATTAGGGGTTTTGGAGGCAGGATTTTGCTTGTTTTCTTCTTTTGGAAATTAAAATTTTCATTGTTTTCATGCAAGTGTTCATTGATTACTTAGGATTAAAAAATTCCTGTTCCGCCCTTTGTTTTGATGCGTGGTGTGGGTGGTTGGATATTAATTGCTCATTTTATGATTATTTATTGGTATAGGCTTTTTCTGATTGTTTTTTAGACAATTGTTGAAGTATAAAGCAATAACTATTTATTTCAAGGAAACTTTTTCATTTTCATCAATTGGGTTTAATAATAGTTTTCAAAATGTCATACTTATTACTTATGTGTAATACTTGGCTGAATTTTGCTGTTTATGGAAGGGGATTGCATTCTGTCTACTTTAGTATAACTCCAAAAAAGATTATATGCAAGTTGAAGACATCTAAGATGACTACAAGTTGTCTAAGATGGTTAACAATGTGCAACCTAGGAATGCATTGATAGGAAGGAGCGATTAGATTGAAGTCAAAGGTGTTATAAGGTTAAAAAGGAGACCGAAAAGGCCATTTGTGCAGTATGAAAACACATAATATTATGTAGGGTGTGGGCCGGATTAACTAAATGGCGAAGGTTGGTTTGTGTAGCTTAACTACTTTAAGTAGATCAGATTTATTGCTATGTTGAGTTGAGTGAACTGAACAAATCCTTATCGTAACAAGTAAGGACATCTGCATTTGCTGTGTCTTGGAGCTATATTTGATGTTATACTTTTGTCTTAAATCTGTAGGCTGGTGTGTGTTCTTCTGAGTACCTCAGTAGTCATCCTCCCTGCATCTTCGCATTCATGCCACACCTTTAACTTGAATTGCAGTTCTGATATGTTGAAACAAAATAGTTCATTACATATTATATAACATACCCTACTTAATTTTGTTTTTCCTAATTATACCCTACTTAATTTGAAGACATTAAAATTACAGAAGGTTGTCTAAGATGATTTAGTCATTTGCAACCTTGAAATGTCCCAAGAAAAGGAAGAATAGGATGAAAAGATAATTAGTTGAAGCGGTGTGACTAGACGACATCATGGTCTAGGAATTAGTAGTAGGTATTGGACAATTTAGTTCTAATACAAACTTATATCATGTAGCCTAATTTAAGTGGTTTGCAATTAAGGTTTGCACTATTGGCAGCTAGATGAAAGTTAGCCTCTTTTTGAACACTCACACCCTCTGTCAGAAATATGGCCACCCAAAATATGGCCACCCAAAATACGGCCACCACTACCGCCACCTCTCAAAACTCCTATACACCTTCACCACCATGGTCACCGCCACCTCCTCCCGCCATGGCTACCCTGTGAAACCGCCGCCTTAATCGTAGCAAATCTTCGTCCTTATCAGTGTTGAAGATGAGTAACAAACGCGTATGATGTGGAGTCAGATCATTCAGTTCATATTGCATTGAATTTCGGCGTCAGAGGTTTCAGAACTTCGTTGTCGTCAAAGGGAAGGGGATGGAATTGTTGGGTTGGGTCACCCTTTTTTTGCCCTTAACCTTCGCCGGAAGGAGCATCATGCGCCCCCACGCACCGTCAATGCGCGTGGGGTTGCACCTACCTATGTACCTTCATCTTTTTCCCAACAAACCCAGAACGCAACCAGCAACCCACATCATCATCTACTTTACGGGCGTCGTCGCAATATTGTTGCAGTGCAAGCAGTGTGATTCGCAATCGACGTTATTCCCGAACATGGTCAATCGCCATTGCCCCTCACCATTTCCACCACCATCCAAACACTTCCACCACAAGTCCACAAAAACTCCAATAATTTATATTGAACCACACTGTCAAACCCAAACAAACCCCACAACACACTGCCACCACCATCACCCTTTGCTGATCTCCATCGCCAATTGTTGATCTATATATATAAAGAAACACACACACCCAATTCCACCAAAATTTCAGAGGCCTCTGACTTGGTATAATTTGTTATGTGTGTGTGTGTGTGTGTGTGTGTATATATATATATTTGTGTGTGATTCTCTCTGAATATGGGTTTTTTTTATATATATGTATATGGAATTTATTCTTGTATGTTGTATGTGGATTTGGACTTGATTAAGCTGGATTTGGTGATGGATATATATAGGTGGCGGCGGCGGCTATGATATGAAGGTTTGAAGGTCGATTTCACCCCATATTTTTCACACATTTTTCTACAGTTAAGGGTGGTTTGGTCCAATAAAATGAGTAGTAAACATTAAAAATGTAATTCCATGGTCAAAATAGGTTAATTATCAAGTCAAAGGGCAATAATGTCAATTCACTATGTGTCAGATGTGGGAGGGGTGTCTTTGTTAACTTTATCAAACTTGAGGGGTGGTCATTGTTCATGAATGAGTCAATTTTCATTTGGCTATCAATAAGGCAAACCTCAGGGGGTGTGAGTGTAATTAACCCTTAATGATTTGTTTAGTTGATTCAGGTCAGCAAACCTTTCCTAACTAGTTGTCACAGCTCTCTCAACGGGAGTTACGGGATAGTCTAATGGCAAGGCTTTCATGGCACATCCTGGAGTTTAGGAGTTCGAATCCCCTTGGGGCTTTCGGTAATTGGCCAGTGATCGTGCATGTGCATGTGCAACCACCATCGTAAACACAAGCAAAAAAAAAAAAATGTCAATATTTGTTTCTAATAAATTCGTAGTACTTTCGTACATCACTGGCTAATGTGCCTATGCCTCAACATTTATATTTGTAGTCTTTTTTTTGTTTTTTTCCTTTCCTTCTTAGTATTCACACACACATGCCTCCAACCCCTGACCTCCCTTTGGGAAATAAGGACCTGGTACCGCTAGGCCACCCGCCTGTTGGTGGTCTTTTTGTTCTTCTTCTCGTCACTGCAACACAATCTCATTGAATTTTGCCGCATATAACTTAATCATCCAAACTGCCCTTTTCTCATTATCTCATCTTATATGACCTCTTCTTTGTTAAATCTACACTTTTTTTTTTTTTTTTTCTTAGTTGGTACTCACACACTCCCCTCACCCTAGAGGATTCGAACCTTAGACCTGATGCTTCCGAAGGCACGAGGGCCAAGTTCGTATCCACTTGAGCCAACCCCTTGGGGTTGCATCTACACATTTTAATTCTATCTTCTCTTGTTTTCCCACTTTTTAATCTCGAACTATCATTTTAGCTTTGCTTAGTTTTCAATGTACTAATTCTTACTTGCCCAAAAAAAAAAAATCCGACTTGTGTTGGTTGTCTGCTTTCAATGCCATAAATAAATAATTATTCCTGCATCTGCTTAAGACCTTAATTTCAAAAATGCTTATCAACAACACTCCAGAATGAGTCCCTTTTATCTGTCCTGCTATAAATGCATCTGAATTGTACTTGTCATCACTATTATGGAAATTGGACCTAGTTGATTTTTATTTTTTTTCATGAAATAGTATAAGGTTTTTCATGAAATAGAGGATTCGAACTTTAGACCTGATGCTTCCTTAAAGCATGAGGGCCAAGTTCTTATCCACTTGATCCAACCCCTTGGGGTTGCATCTACACATTTTTAATTCTATTTTCTCTTGTTTTCCCACTTTTTAATCTCGAACTTTATCATTTCAGCTGTGCTTAGTTTTCAACGAACTAATTCTTACTTGCCCCAAAAAAAAAAAAAAAAAAAAAAAATCCGACTTGTCTTGGTTGTTTGCTTTCAATGCCATAAGTAAATAATTATTCATGCATCTTCTTAGGACCTTAATTTAAAAAATGCTTACCAACAACATTTCAGAAGGAGTCCCTTTTATCTGTCCTGCTATAAATGCATGTGAATTGTACTTGTCATCGCTATTATGGAAATTGGACCTAGTTGATTTATTTATTATTATTATTTTTTTCATGAAATAGTATTAGGTTTTCCTTCTGGGCTATGGTTGTACTTCAATTTTTTATCTATTGAAGATTTAATGGAGAAATCAGTGGAGGAAAACCCTCGCGTAATTGATGTAGTTTCCTATTATTGAAGATTTGATGTTGTTAGAGGAATCAGTGGAGAAAAATCCTCCTTGTTTCCTATTTTTTATCTCTTTCCATTCTCATAATTTTTTCTTTTATATAGAGGAGCCTCCACCATTGTATTGTGTATGAGTTGAGAGATTATAATCGAAGATATGTAGCCCTTTGGGGTTTGTGTGTCGTGGATGTAAACCCTAGTGGCTGAATCACGTAATATCTGTGTTTTTATTGTTTAATTCTCTTCGCATATATTACGTGGTTCAACCACTAGGGTCTATGTCCACGGCACAAAGAGCCCAAAGGGCTACATGACTTTTATAAAGCTTTGTCAACTCATTCAAAATACAATGGTGGAAGCTCCTTTATAGGAGAATACATGATGAGATTGGAAAGAGCTATAAAATAGGAAATAAGGAGGATTTTTTCTCCACTGATTCCTCCATCAAATCTTCAATATTATCATCTGCAGATATTTATTGCTTCATATATGAGACTGGCATTTAATATTGCTTATAAACTTGCACTTTATATGGTATTGCTAGATATCTCATAGACGGCCCGAGTTTGCTGACATAATACAGTGGTAGATTAACATTTACCTTTCTGTGGAAATTAACTGATTAAATGCAGCATCTGGTTGGTACTTGTTGTCGGTATCACCCACTTAACTTGGCATTCAATAGTTTTAGATTACTTATATACTTTTGTGTTATGAGAAAAATCAGTATGTAATAATTTCAGTGGAGAAAACTTTATGATTATGCTAAAATCAATAAGATGTCTCTTCTCTTTCGGTGATTTCTTGCTGAAGATTGGTATGAAATCCCACCCTCCATTATCATATTTAGTTCGCCTCACCTATTGACAGCAATAACACCGTCCGTGAAATTATATAACCTACTTGATTTGAGCTACATATTGCTACTACTTTCATGTGACAGAAAAAGAAAATGCATTCTGCTGCAACAAGATGTACAAATGTGATTCATGCCCTGATGTATTATTGTTTATTTATAATTTGTTCCAGCACTCCAGCTGGAACCAAAAGAAGAGGCGGACCAGGGGGGCTAAACAAAGTTTGTCGTGTTTCAACTGAACTTCAGGCCATTGTTGGTGAGCCAGCCCTGCCAAGGACCGAGGTTCTGATACCCAGACTGAGCATTTTCCTTTTCTTGACACAGTTTTGCCTTTCAATCCTGCATTTTAGTTTTACACTCAACCTACTTGTATAGCATATTTTCAACTTGCACTTTCTTTGTTTCAGATTGTGAAGCAGCTATGGGTGTACATTAGGAAAAACAACCTTCAGGATCCAAGTAACAAGAGAAAGATAATATGTGATGATGCATTGCGTATAGTCTTTGAAACAGACTGCACCGACATGTTTAAGATGAATAAGCTGCTTGCTAAACATATTACCCCACTTGAACCTTCAAGTATGTAAGAGGGACATGATATCAACCTGCAACATTTTTTTATCTCAAATAACTTTGCTTAATTTTTTTATTTACTTTTTTATTTTTTTGGTTCCTTTTCCCACTCAGAAGAATCAGGTCAAGCTAAACGATTGAAGGTTGATGTCGAATCTGCAACTGGTAGTACTGAACCTAGTCCAGCTCCTGTGGTAATATCTGAAGCACTTACCAAATTTTTTGGTACTGGAGAAAGGGTGATGAATCAGTTAGAGGCCTTGCAACGTGTAAGGGAGTACATAAAGGTCAATAGTTTGGAGGTAGGCATCCAAGTAGATGTATTTGTGACATTTTTTCTGTGATTTTATTGAATAATGTAACAGCTGGATTATGCTAAATTTCTAATGTTTATGCCAACTTCTTGCAGCAAATAAGCTATATGCTAAAATTTCTTTTTCTTGTGGGTAAACCTATACCAAATCTGTGATACTTATGTGATCTTTTCAATAAATTTGATTGTCCAAACATGTGATATTCTGTGATGTTTTTGAAGAATGTCTAGACAACAGCTTGATACTAAATTACTAACGTTTATGCCAACTTCTTGCAGCAAATAGATTATGTCCTATAAATTTAATTCTTGCAGGTAACTTAATACTTATATGATTTATTTTTTAACCCCATCGGGCAGTTAAGTTGGCTAGAGTCTCTTAGTGACAAAGAGGTTTCAAGTTCTACTCTCCTCCAGCAACAATCCAATATATGTGGCTTTGGGGTGGTTGCATTTATCTTAAGGTAAGCTCCCAGGAGTTGGGGCACCTCCATTACCAAAAAAGAAATAAAGACTTCTTTCTGGATGTTTCGTACGACAACTCTAAATCCGTTGGTAATTAGCCCTCGTATCTAAATCATCAGTCCCCTTAATTCATCAATCAAGAACAAAATTATGCATAGATGCATCTTTTCTTGTTTTAGGATACTGGACTCATTTTTGTGCTTTCTCGTTTATTTGTTTTCGTTGGTGCAAATAATTCTGGTTGCATCTCTCTAATTTCAATAAGGTGATATATTTTTGTTTTAGTACTTTTTTCTTGCTGCTATCATTGTTTCAAAACTCAAGACTAAGGGAAGTGCTTTATAATTTAAAATTTTTGTGCCTTTGCTTGTATGCTTGTAGGATCCTATGAATTCGATGGTGATAAATTGTGATGCAAAGCTTCAGGAGCTTCTTGGATGTGAAAGCATTTCTGCATTGGGAATATCTGAGATGTTGGCACGCCATCATTTATTCAAGCAATAATGTGTTACAATCTATGTGCGCTGGTGAGTATAAAACTCGGCTTACCTAATGAACAAACTAATATTGGTATTAAGTTTTGTTATATTTTTTAATAGCATTATATTGATCTTTCTAGCCATAATTTCCTTTTTTTTTTCCCTTTTAATTGTTCTAACCAGTATTCTGTTGATTTTGAGTTTGATCGAGCACTTTGAGTGCTTATCTTAGTTGAAAAAAACATTAAGATTTCAAGTCAGCCAACTCCCCATGGCTTCTTTCAAGTCAAAATATTAGCATTCTTATTCATTGTTGTTTTCAAGACAGTTCTAGGGCCTCTGTTAGAAATGTTAAACTGCTGTTGACATAAAGACCAAGTCTAACTCAGCTAATCACCATGATTGTGTTGACGAACCATGAGATGTTGTGTACAATAAGAACTTGATTATGTGAAGATGGGTAAAATAAGACCAAGTTATGCATGAGCTTAAGAACTCCAAATACCAATCCCGTAAAGCTGGCCATTTGGCCAACCAGAATCCTGATCCCCAATTTTTGTTGCTGTGACTTGCCCCGTTTAGAATCTAATTTTGACCTCCAGTCACTCGGCCATTTTGGTCACCTTTATCTTTATGAGTTACTTCTAATTAGAAAAACCATTTGTTTCAAATGTTTTTTTCCCCTTGTTTGCCTCACTTTTTATGTCTATACATAATTCATTCACTCGGTACATTTTTATACTAGATCAAAATAGCAAGATATTTGGAACCCAATAGTTTCTTGGCTTATTGTTTGATCTTTTAGTACTAATTGAATGACGAAGTCTTTCCGGTATTTCGTGTAGGTGGTGGGCAGCGCTATCACCATCAAGTTGTTTGTTATGGTAGATCAGATACCAAATGAAGATTTAATTATTTTCAGGTTATCCTTTTGTTTTCTTTGTTCATTGACATGGGTTAGTTGTTATTATTTTACAACTTGTTTTTAATTATTAGAATGAAAATGTAACCCGGGCTAGTGGCGAGAATGTGTTGTAATTACGCCAGGGCTTGCTTTAGGTTTTATTGTCCAACTTTATGCCTAACCTCCTTAGAATGGATACAAGGATAATTTGGTTGACATAGTAGATGGAGCACAATTAAAAGGTACAGAAGAAACCGAAACATAAATAGAAACAAAACCTCCAATGGGTTTTAATTCTACGTAGGTCTGTCCATGGCCGTCCAAAAAATCTAAATCTACACCATAGTAATAAATTATGTTCCAGTATTTTTGACATATGATATCTATTGCCCATAATCGTTAGATTACAGTCAATATTTGTTGTACTCTTATAATACAGGGCTAACCATAATTGCAGATATTAGGCACTAAACTAATTTGCTAAAAATTCAGCAAGAGACTATCCCTCCTATAAAGACTCCCTGTAATCACTGATTTTCTAACAAAGCACAATCCAAGTGATCAGAATGTAGAACATTCATGAAATCTACATTTTACATATGGGGTGTCTACAATATGTTTAGAAAACCTTAAATTGAACCATGATTAATTAACCAAAATATAAATGCAAACCTATAAGTTAGTAGAACCCGAATTCATTAAGAGCATGGGCGGACTTTGTTTACCTTTTAAGTCATTTATTTTATGTCTGAATTTATAGTTTGTTCCCTATTGCTCTTCCTTCTTCTATTGGTCATTCTTCAATTTAAACAACTGTTTTTTCAGATTTTCATTCTCCACTTCTGCTTTGAAAAAAAGCCATGAGAGAAAGAAGTCGAATGATTTTTTCATTTTGGCGCCAAGAGTCCTAAACTTAACAAGAAGGGCAAATATGGAATAAAAAATACAAGAACTTAGTTTCTTGTAATATATGGACTCTTTAGTAATTTTATTGTAAGAAAAAATAAATAAATTTGGAGCGCAAGTAGTTACTTTATTCAGGAAAAAAAAAATACATCAGGAGTCTAAAGCTATAGAACTTTGAATACATCTTGGAATATCAAAAATATAAAATTTCCCTAATTTACTCCTACGAGCCCACCCTGCTAATTGATGTGCAACACCATTAGCTTCATGAGGCACGGAGACAACCGAGAAATTTTTGTTAGCCACCATCCATCCCTAAATATCATCAATAATAGCACTCAAAACTTTATTGAATTTCCATCCAATAGCCGTAGACATAGTGTAAAGTCAAAACCAAAATTTCTAATAAAAGATATATCAATCTTTCCAAATTTCAAGATAAATAACATGATAAAAAAAGTACTCATAATAAAAACTTAGAAATAACTCAATAATTGATATTCTTTAATATTTTGTTTCCTTAACTAAAATTTAATTGTTTACTTTATAAAAATAAATGTGTCAAAGTAACAAAGTTAAGTTATTCTAAAATTCATGATTAATTATAATATAAATAATCTAAATTTAACTTTATTTTACTTATAATCTTATATAAAAGTTATAAATTATTTTTATATTTCGGGTTATTCGGATTCATTGGGTTACTAAAATTTTTGCCAAAAGTCTCATCCTATGATCTCAATGACCTTGCCCATTCTCCTATTACTAGGAAAAACCACCAAACAGCACCACCATTGGTGCCACCGAACCAAAATTGAAAAGAAAGTCAAAACATTCCCAAAAAAACAAAACCCAAAAACTAGCCCACACAGACACAAGCAATTTAAGTCCCGCAAAGAACAATAACATCCATTACTTCATCTGATAAGATTATTTTATCATCTGATTTTTTATAATCTGATTAGACAGATTTATATTATGATTTGATATAATAACTAGACAGATTATTAATTTTGAATATGATAAGATTATTCTAGAGGAATGCTCTGAAAAGGATGAGAGTCATGAACCCCCATGAACCCTTCTTTTGTAAATTTTGGATTGAAAAATATATTAAATAATTAATTTAAATTTTCATGAAAAATTGTTCCAATAGGTATAAAAAAAACAAATGTATTTTGAAAGAAATTATCATATGTTCCTAGTTTACTTGATACTTGTTGGTCCTAGATTAATTAAAATTTTTGAATTTAATTGGTTTACCAAATATTAATAGTTTCCTACCATCTAATAATTTCTCACATTTTAGACTCAAAACAAGGTTTAAATTCTTTTGGGTTAAAAAAGTCAAAATTCAACTAATTAACAAAATATATCGTCAAAAGAAAAGATAAAATTTTAAGTTATTTTTACTATTAAATCCATCACTATTTTATTTATGGGATTTATTAAATATTTATGAAGGGTGATATAGTAATTTAAAACTTTTATAATAGGTTTATTTGTCTTTTTTTATATCTTCCACGATGAAAATTTGTGAAGGAAGAAGGATGGCTCATCCTTCCTATTATCATTTCTTTTCTTATATCATTTCTATCGGATGAAGTAAATTTATTCATTTCTTTCGGCCCACTTCTTTCCTGTATTTCAAATTCTTACACATATGGTATATGCAATTCTTTAATCATGACTAATGTCTAAATTAAATTGATATATCTAAATTAATTTAGGTTGATATTTATATTTAAATTAAAATGATTTAAATTGAAAAAGATATTTTTGGCATTATAATTTTTTAATTAATTGTCTTTTGACTTGTCAAGTTAAAGTTGAAGTTTAAGTTTAAGCAGTAAAGGCAACGTGAAGGGAGTGGCCCAACATTTAACCCAATTCATTTTTATAATGGGTAGGGTAGGGTAGTGGGGCCCGTGAGGGAACATGATCAGAGCATGTGACTGTGATCCGGCGTGGCAGATTAGAGACGGCCACAAGTGGATCCCATTCACGAGAGTAGTTGAATGCATCTACTAGTTGGGTCCCGCAAAGAATGCATTTTTATACGGACCGCATATCAAAAGTTCGATTAATTAAGAAAAAGAAGGGTTTGACACTTCAGCATTTCTTTTGATTTTTGATGGGAGTTAGGCTTTTACGATGGTGATGATCGCAACTGGTGTGATGTAGGTCCCACTTTGGGCACCGGCCTAGCCCCGAGATTGGCTTCTTGCTCATTGTCCCCACACACCCACACACACACACACACACACACACACAATAGTAAATTAAAGTGCCTCTTATTTACTGTTTTAATTATTTTATACGATTGGCTTTATCACCGTGTTTTTATATATTGATTTTGGTGATTAAATTATATTAATATCTAAAGAAAATTTTTAACTAGGCCCTAACATACGGCCTAGTCAAATTAAAATTATTAATGATAAGCAAATAGAAATCCTGGAACATGAAAGCATTATGATCTTAGTCACCTACATGCACTGCACAAAGCACAGAATAACCCACTCAATATAGAAAGTGATGGCTATATTGCCTCCGGTCATAATTTGGATTTAGAAAATGATTTGAAATTTAAAATTTAAAATAAGGACAATTTCGATTGATTTATAGAATAGGACTGATTAATTATAATATCATCAATTCACACTTACATAAAATTAGTTAAATTTGCCATACTATCGGTCATTAATTTTTAGTTCATAAAATTTTACAAAACTATTAACTATATAACATCCTCATCTAAAAAAAAACTTGTATATTTATATATAGATCAGATCGAAGACTATTGAATTTTGTAAAGAAAAAACATTTACATCTAGACTGTGCCAATGTATGTCCTTTGTGTCAGTGATATGAGATGTCAATTTGCTAAGATTCTTTGAGTGCTCCCACTCCTCTCCACAAATTTTTTATTATATATTATTATTTTTTAAAATTACTTGTAGGCATTTACGTCTCTATAAATAGCACTCAAATTGAGCATCTCTTCACTTCAATCCCTAGCTAGTTACCACTCAAATTAAACACAGATCTATTCTTTCATTCTTCTTTAATTTGAAGTTCAGTTACAAGATTTTCTTTGCTCTCTCCAATGGCCGCTGTTGAGGTAACTCCACTTGTTTGATAACATGCATGCACTTTCATTTTCAGCTTTCTGCTGGACAATCAGTATATAACTCAATCATATATATATATATATATAAAGCTAGCTATATTTTTTTTTTTTTTCAATTGATTAATTATTAAAACTTCTTCCATACATATTTTGGTGATCGAATTTGGAATTAATCAATATCGAGTCTTGCAGGTTGCTCCGGTTACAACACTACCAGTGAATGAAACAACTAGTCATGATCATGAGGTGATCATCAGCCAAGAGACAAAGACAGAAGAGGTAGTAGTAGTGGCAGATGCTGCAGAAGAACCGGTGACTGAAGAACCAAAGGAAGCAGCTGCAACTGAACCTATAGCTGCAGAAGAAGAATCAGTCACCCTTGAAGTCAAAGAACCAGCCGCTGAAGTTGAGACGTCTAAGGAAGTAGTTGCAGAGGAGGAAGCTAAAGAAGAGAGTACTACTCCAGAAGAGCCAGCAGTAACAGTGGTAGTAGAAAAGGCAGAAGAGGAGACTCCTGCGGAGATGAAGACTGAACCTGTTGTAGTTGAGGAAACCAAAGAAGAGACTACCGATGCACCAGCTGCCCCGGAACCGGCTGAAGAAGAAGTCACCGGTGCCGGAGAAGTAAAACCAGCTGAAGCAGAGGAGGAAGATACCACCACAGAAGTTCCAGTTGAGAAGACTGAGGAATAGAACTTTTAAGTACATCAAAGTAAGACTAGTGAAGGTGGTGCGCTACCGTGAGTGCTTTCGTTTAGGTAGGTCAATTTACAGCATGTCAAAGCTATTTTAGTTCACTTTTTATTCAGTTTACTTTACTACTATTGTGTTGTACTGTTGTTGCGCCATTGGAGTGCTATTGATTTAAGTTCCAGAGAGCATCAATGAGTTTGATATAAGTATATTATATGGTGTACGGTCATGATCTGTGGTCTCTAGGTTTTTGAATAATAATTTGGTTAGATCCAATGCAACCATGTCTTTCTGTAATATTTTTCATTCCCCATAAATTATGTTTCAAATTCCTTGTCTAATTATTTCAAAAGTATATGCTAACATGTATAGGGTTATAAATTTATGGGATGGCAAGCATTTAACACCTCTGTATTATTCATATAACTCCCTATTACAAGTTCTGAAAATTCTCTAACGTTGGACTTCTCCTCATTCGAACTTATTTGACATTAATGGAGCGATAAAAATATTAAAATACACTTCTTACAATTAAAATAAAAATAGTAAAAAATTCAGTTAATGTAAAATGACTACTATGGCCTTTATATACAAAAATGGTAAGGACATTTTTAGTATTTAATACAATTAATTAGTTATGTGCGAGGCACACGGTCCTAATTTGTAACATTTTTTAATCTTTAAAGGAATTATATATACGAAGTAAAAGAAATAAGTATTATTTGCTCAAAATATAAACTTTAAATTTGGATTCTAATGAAAATAAACTTTAACAAATTTTTAAAGGTGTTTCATACGTCCTACCATATATACCTCCATCATTTTCAATGGTATGATTTCGCTTTATAAATTTCTATATGGGCATTATTAGGCAAGGATAATATAGTAACTAAACAAGGTATTTTGTAAACACTTGACTGAAAACAAAAGCTGGACAAACTGAGATCCATCCTGAATAATTTACATACATAGCAGGTTTTTTTTGGTTGGTGAAGAAGAATTGTCACGTGTGGCTGATGCTTGATAGTTTTACTTGAAGAAGCAAACCTAGGCCGTTGAGCCCATAAAAAGGGTGTAAATGAAAGGGCCTGTGGTGAACCATACGAGCGTAGGTTGAGATACACGGGTCCAAATATACCCTTATACAGTGATGTTATGTTTGGGGGTCGCACTGAGTCGACATTTTAAAATTAAAATTAAAAACAAATTATTATAAATTTTGAAATAAATTTTTTTGAATTCTAAACTCAAAGCATCGATTGAATACTCTCAAATATAATAAAATATAATACGAGTGAATGATAAGTTCAATAAAAATTTGCAAAACTCCTCTGAAATTATTAATAATATTTTTCAGAATCTAGCAGACTTTTAAAGTTTTTGGCCACCAAACCTAAGATGTGACAGTTCAAACAATCAAATTTGGATTCTAATGAAAATCCCCATGACTAAAGTAAGAATTCCAACCAGCTTTCGGCAAAGAAATTTTAAGAATTATTCGAATTCCAATTTGATAACAGGTTTAGCTTCTCCATTCCCACTAAATAATAAAATTTTAATTTAAGAGTTATTTTCAAAGGAAAAGGCCAGTTTTCTTTGGCATTTTGAAACCTGAAATTGTCTTTTTAGACTAATTGAATTTGAATAAAGTGTTACTATTTTAATTTTAAATTGTGTTTAATTTCTTTAATAGAGTTAGGTGTTGTTTGATAAAATTAAAAACTAAGCATTGAAAATTTCAAGTACGGAATTTTAAGTGCTGAGCATATTAATTTGAATGCTTGTTTGTAACTGAATTAATTTTAAACGCTTAATTATTTTAAGTGATGCCTAAATGGTTATCAAACATGTTAATTTTTAAAAATTGCTTATCGTGTTTTGTGTTAAACGCTGAATAGCAGTACCAAACATATCCTTGTTTGAAAATTTATTATTTATTCTTAAACATATTTCCTTTACTTGTTTCCAAATTTTCAATTTTAGTCTTTCATAATTATATAATTCCCATTTCATTTTCCTGCATTGATTTAATATATATATATATATGTGTGTGTGATGGTATGATCGGAGACATACATTATATCTGATTTCTCAAGAAAAATATTGTGTAAAAAGACCTGAATCGAGATTTTCAGGATAGCAAATGATGGTGTGGATTGGGAAAATATTAAATGATGGAGTGGGTAAAGACGTGTGAATGTGAAGGTAAGGTGTAAAGGTGACCAGTCTTGCTGGATGCAATTGCAAGTGGGCTCATGACGTATGAAAAAGGAATATATACATATATTCATATAAATCTAGATATTTGTACACATGATACCAATTCTACTCAATAAAGTAATTTTTATTTTTTTTCCCAACTGCGTGGTTGGTAATAATAAAAAGTATATATTGTCCATGCATTGGGTGAACATCAGAAGTTGACCGTGATAGACTCTAGAAATCTCTCAATTGCTTAGATGTATTAATACTAATTTAATACCACATATTTTAGAATGGCTTCCCCTTAGTAAAGTAGTATGATGGATTTAGGACATGAGTATCATCACTATCTTTGATAGTCCTACAAGTTTTTTTTCATAAAATATTATTTTACGAAAAAAAGGGGATAAAATGAAAAATATTAGAGCAAGTTGGTTTAAATTCAGGAAACTCCACATCCAAACAGGAAAGTAAAAAGGTAAAAAGATAAAAGAAAGTCAAGCTCTTTCCTATTTTAATTTGTCGAAAATATTTACCAATCTGTGTTTGCCACGCAATTGATTCCAGTGTACTGCGTCCCAGAAATTGACAACTTCCACCAATCGAAATGTTAATCCGCCAATCATAAAGATATGTCACTTTTAAATACGGAGTAGAACAACTTGCTCTAATTAATTAATTTAACTATAGGAGTAGGATAAAAAAAAATAATAAAGAAAAGGAAAAGGAAAAAGAAAAGTAATTAATATGAAGATAAAATTATTATCTAAAATCAGAAAAATATGAAATTTTCTGAGTCTCTCTCGGGTGAAACATGTGAAGGAGATAATTATATCTCTATATGACTATATATATATACCGTATATCCACACTCTATCGAATCCCTTGTTTCTTTATTTGAGAAAATCCCAAAAATGGGGAAAAACCCTAGAGAGAGGGAGATACGGTTTCTGTAGATTGAGATTCGATAGGATCTAATTTGAGAGAGAGAGAGGAGCGATAGGACTCTGTGTATCACAAGCGGAACCCTAGCTCTGGAACGCAGAGTTTCGCCGGTTGCGGTTCAGAGGCTCTCGTCCCCCGAAGAGAAGAGATGAAGGGTCTGTTCAAGTCCAAGCCGAAGACGCCGGCTGACCTCGTCCGTCAAACTCGCGATATCCTAATCTATGTTGATCGCAATTTGAACACTCGCGAAACCAAGCGCGAAGAGAAGGTTAGATTCGTTTGATTTCCGATCCTAGTTTGCATGAACAATTGCAAGTTCAAAATCTTAGTTTGATTGCATCCTGGATTTGGGCAGTTGTGTTTTCATAGACTTCTGTACTCTATATTTTGTGTTTATTTTTATTTTTATTTTTATTTTTCCCAAAAATGTGACAAATTTTGATATTTTATATAATTTGAAGTGATTCTAGTTAGAATGAATTAGTTTGTTATAGAATTTACCGACCTGTATGTACGTGCTATCGATTCAGATAAGTAACCTATTTTCATTTTCATTTTCATTTTCAGATCTACTTTCTTGTTATTTTATTTTTATTGGTTATATTGAGTGTATTTTTCTCCATTGATTTCTAATGGCTAATTTGAGTGAATTAATTGAATAGATGCTTAAGCATATGGATGTTCAGAAGTGTCGACTCTATTGAGCAAGGGGACCGTATTACTTTTGAAATTTTACTTCGGTGTCAGAATTGTAATACCAGAGATAAAAACGTTTTAAACTTGGAACACAAGATTTTGCACCCAATGTGTAATTTGTTAAAAGAAATTTTTTTATTTTTATTTTTTTCATTTGATTTATATTCAGTTTCTATATGGAACTGTATTGGGGACATGCCTACTTATGCTTTATACTTATTGTATGCCATGGTGGCAATGAGTTATGTAAGTCTTATTTGCATTACTATTATTTGTTACTTAGCTAGTGTGTTATTTTAATCTGCAATTTCTGCAGATGGCGGAGTTAAATAAGCTTATCAGGGAGTTAAAGCAAATTCTTTATGGGAATAGTGAAACTGAGCCAGTCTCCGATGCTTGTGCGAAGTTGACCCAGGAGTTCTTTAAAGAGAACACGCTACGTCTATTAATTATTTGTCTTCCAAAACTGAACTTGGAGGTATGCACGAACTTTTTCACCTGCTTTGCACTATAACCCGATTTAGATGTCAAATTTTGTTGAGTCATTTTTCTTCACTATCATGTATATTAGTTGTGTGTAATTTTATTAAATTTTAGCCATTTACTTGCCTTAAATATCTTCAATGCAGTTGATTTTTGGAATTCCATATTAGCAATAGCCTCAACCATATCTGGAGATTTTCATCACAAGTATCACCTTTTGCAGGCCCGTAAAGATGCCACTCAAGTTGTTGCAAATTTGCAAAGGCAACAAGTCCAGTCACGGCTGATTGCTTGTGATTACTTGGAAGCAAACAAAGATCTAATGGATATTTTGGTATCGGGGTAAGCAGCTGTTGGAAGAGTTGGGAAATTTATAGCTGTTATTTATTTTTATTTTTTTTTGGGGGAACAATTACTTAGTTCTGTTCATTAATTTGCAGTTTTACTTAGAACCCGTTTGGCGTTGGTGTTAGAATAGCACTTTTGTCAAAAAAAATTTGTTGATAAAAGCATGTTAGGTGTTTGGTAAAATATTATAATAAGTATTTTTCACAATTAATATTTTTTAAATTTGTTTGGTAGTAATATTTTTTAAGACACTTCGATTGCTAATTTTGCAATAATCTCCTTTAACTGGATGCTAGCATATTTGATGATAGCCACTTTATAAAGGAATGAGTGTAATTGTCTTTATAAAAAAAATAAAAAGACAAAATTGCCTTTACCTAAAATATTCAACCTCTACTCAGAATGCAGTTTTAAATGCTTTAAATTCTAGCTTCATTCAAAAGCTCCACGAGCTAAAATTGGTAACTATTAAAAGCGCTTTTAATGGTTACCAAACACATCCAAATGCAGTTTTCTTTTTAAGTGGTTGAAAAGCAATCTCAAACGGGCTCTTATTGGTTAGTGTTTGGAATCTCTTATCAGTCGTCTTTAGCTTTACCGGCACCTTTTTGGTGCTCATTTTTGTTTCCAATTTGTGGAGAAACATGATTAGATTAGTACGAAATGAGGAGGAGCTATTCACTTGATACTTGAACCAATTAGTAATTATTTTTTTACTACCTTTTTGGCGAACAGTAATTTTTTTCCCAAACATTAAATATATCATAATTAAAAAACTGTGTAAGGTAAAGTTGAATCAACAGAAAAAGAAATTGGCGGCTACTCATGAAAGTTTATTTCCATTAGAGGTCAGAGATATTGTTCCTTGTGCAGACAGATTGAACTACCTTGTAATCTTTTTATTTGAGTGATAGCTTTTTTATAGTGTTGTGAAAGGCGTGTGCCTAGACAACAGGCGCAGGTCTAGCGCCTGTTGTCATCCCAGGCGCGTGCCTTGGTTGCGCCGCGTCCTATTTGTCTGGTGCGCCTCACTGCTTTTTCGAAAATGATTATTCTATTTCTTAAGCCAAAAAGGGTGCTTTTGGGAACTTAATAACCAAATAAGAAAGCCCAAGTGTATGAGAGAAGGAACTTTTGTTCAAAAGAGTAAACAAATAAGAAAGCTCAAGAGTCAAAGTGTCAACAGAACATATAAAGAGAGAGACTGTGAGACCAATGACTCTTTCTTCTTCTTCTCTCTCTTCTTCTCTATTCCTCTCTTCTCATCTTTGTTTACTTCTCTCCTCTCCGTCCTTTTTTTTTTTGGGATCTCCTTTTTCTTCTTTTAACACTTTATCTCACTTCTCATCTACTTTTCTCCCTTCATCTACTTCTTTTGTCTTGCGTCTATTTTTTTTTTTTTTTAATTATTTATGCGCTCTGTTTTGCCTTTCAAAAAAATAAATTATGTTTTGCGTTTCAAGAAAACAAATTTGTGCTCTGTTTTATGGTTCTTGAATGCTTATATGGTGGGTGGATTTACTTTTTCATATTTGATATTAACTTTTAGAATATTGATACGACTTATTAGATATGAATGCTTTTATGGTAGTTTAAAATTTCAACTGTGCGCCTAGGCTCCGAAGGACCTCTAGCGTCATGGTGCGCCTTGACCTTTTAATAACACTGCTTTTTAAGTACTTTTATACGGATAGACTTGTTTTGGGCCATTCCTTACTTTTACCTTTTTTGGAAAAGAAGATAAGGAGAGTTTTTTTTGGTTGTTGAGTGATTTGGTTATATTTATTATTTTTTATATACTACTAATCCACTTTCTAATGCTCACTTGCTGGTACATTTAGTTATGAGACGGACATGGCTTTACATTATAGTGCAATGCTGAGGGAATGCATACGCCATCAGAGTGTTGCACGGTGAGCCAAATGAAACAAGTTTATCTGTTTTTCTTTTTATTTTGACTAGGTTTACTTTCTGTGTTTGATCTATTACAAATCTATATTGGTTGTCAATATCAAGGATAGATTTGTATAAATAATAATGTCAATCTCTTGTATGGCACTTCGTACAAAATTCCCATCATCCCGTCTTCCCTATTTGAACCCAGCGAAAAAGGGATATACACTGTAATGTCTTAAAGTATATTTACTTGTACACCACTTGTAACACCACTTTTATGTGGTGTTTACTGCAAATGTTCTAATTGTTTTTAATTTTACTAATTTCTCTGGTATTATTTGCAGTTATGTTCTGGAATCAGATCATATGAAGAAGTTTTTTGATTATATACAACTTCCTAATTTTGACATTGCTGCAGATGCTGCCGCGACTTTCAAGGTTGAGTATTGTTGACAGAACTAGTTATTAGTTGTCTTTTGGAATACACATTCTCTCTCTGTCACACACACACACACACACACACACACAGTCACACAGACAAACATACCCATCCCATTTACTTTGTATATTATAAACTCAGGCAATCTCGAACCAAAGTTTGGTTCTTGACTTTACTGCACATATTTCTTAGAAGTTATAGCTGCCTGTTTTCATGGCGCACTGCTTTAGATTAAAAGGCAGATTTTTGGATGATGTGCTTTCTGAGATTCCTTTCATTCTTTCAAATTGTAGGACAAACTGAGTACATGTCCCTATCTACATGCGGAAATATAAAAGTAGTGATTGTTGATCCAATGCTACATGCCTGTTGTCTCTAATCCTTAAAAATGGAACTATGTTGAGGAAGGCCCCAATACTAATCCCTTTTTCCCCTTTATTAGTCGAGCTAGTTGAGCACATATGTATGATGTACGATTGTAAATGGAATGTTGTTGTGCTTCATTGCTTTGTGTCATTATGTACAATTATTATAGCATTACTGAGATTTAATTGTAACATTTATTGCAGGAACTTTTGACGAGACATAAATCAACTGTTGCCGAATTTCTTTCTAAAAACTATGATTGGGTATGTTTTTTATGCTTTCATATGATATAAGTGTCTTCTATCGAAATTTTATGTCCACACAGTAGTCAGCAAACAATTCTCACGCACTTGATAGAAGAAAATCTGCATGAAATTAAAAATATGGTAAGAGTACCATAGATAGTAAACTTTTATAAGTCAAGTATATTATGCTTTTATAATATGGATAGATATATATATAACATCAATATGTCATTGGAAGTATCGAAATGAAGATATTTTGTTGAAAAAGATATTAGTTTAACATTTATGGGTTATTATATCTGTGCTGATATCCCCATGAATTGATGATCTTTTCTTGCCCATCTCAAAGAAGAAGTCTTCACTGATATCATTTTCTATGGCTATTTAGCTTCATCATAATGGGTTACCCAGTTAATATTAAAATTTTCTCCGCATGCTCAAAATGCTTAAAAAGACAAATAACTAAATTCAAGCAACACCCAAACAGGCCATATAAGATAATAAATTTTAACTGTTGTATTTACTTCTTCAGGTATTCATTAAGAATAATATCGCAATACTTTTTACCAGAAGGATTAAGAGCTTGTATAAGTTTTTGTGCAAATAACACGCATACACAAAAATGTTCCAAATTGCCCCTTTCTTCCACATGCGAACCAGGTGACACTAATAAAATATGAAAACCCAAGATTGCACTTTTATTATGTGAGAACACTGTCCCTACTTGAATTATATATGTACGTGTAAACTACCCATTTTGGACTCTCTTTCTCTCTCCTCAAAGCAACCGTTCTTGCCTGCGAAGTTGGATGATTCCTTGATGGACAATCGTTCGCAAGGGTGAATCGGCAGTGCTGGTGGTGCATGATGTTCATGCCGCTGCAGCCGAGGGAGGAGAGGTCGACATCGATGTTGGATTTGTAGCTTCTGCGTTCAGTATGATGTAGTAGGTTTGCATGCAGTACTCAAAGTCCTCGCCTTGGAGCTTTTCAAAGTCTGTTTTCATTTGCTGCCCATCATTTATGCGTTAGATTCTCGAGAGAGAGCCAGGAGTGGGCATTGGCTTTGGAGGGGAGTGTTCGCAAACTGATTGAGACTGTCGTTATAAAAAATAAAATTAAAAAACTACAATAATGGCTAATTTGATTTTTTCACTTAATCTCACTTATTTTTGCACTTACCAGAAAATACATTTAAGAATGATATAAATTTTTCATTTCAAACGTCTACAACATATGATAATATATTGATTCAAATTTAAGCAAATGACATCGTGATGACATGTAATATTATTTAAGAACTTAAAATTTTATTATATAAAAAGATCATAGTACCCTTAACTAAAAGATTTACTTTTCCTATTTGAAAATAGGAGACTTAATTTAGTCCCCAAGGTATAGTTTTTGGATCCACCACTGGTTGTTTGCATACATTTATTTGTTTATTTACCTTTTGTTATTGTTATTGTTATTATCATCATCATTATTTATTATTTCATTTGGATAGCTGAATGGCCAGAACTTGATGTTCTCCATGGCGTTTCTGGTTTTAGTTTTTTGCAGAGTATAATTCAAAGCTGCTTGAATCTACCAATTACATTACCAGGCGACAAGCTGTCAAGGTGTGAGATAAAAGTTTTAGATTTTGTTATACATATTAATAATCAAGTAAATAAAGTATGTAGCTATCTGATCCTATGATGTGCTTTATTGTTTATGAAATGGTATGCTTCTGGGGCAAGACTGAAAGGAAAATATCGTTTACTCATATAAATTTGATCTAAACTTCAAGACTCAGTTGGGACATTTGTGTGTAATACACACAAATATATGTTTGTATGTATGTATGTCTAAGAATCCTTATGGTTCTTCCTTTATCTTTCTGGAGTATCTTCATAGGTTGCCTGCACCTCGTGTAATTCATATTTTGCATCCCTACGATATGATTGCATATTATTATGTTACGTGCTGTTACTTACTGTTCTTGTACATTCCTGTGTTCAATATTGCTTAGATTGATGCATTGTATGTTATTAGCTTTATGACTCTTCTAATGTGGCAGTTTCTCGGGCACTTGCTGTATAACATTTTTATAGAAGCAATTTTAACACAGTTATCTTGTTGCTAAAAATCCTCTTTTTCTTTTTTTGGTTACAGTTGTTGGGAGATATTTTACTCGATCGGTCAAATTCTGCTGTGATGACCCGATATGTGTGCTCGAGGGATAACTTGAGGATTCTTATGAATCTCCTCAGAGTATGAAACTTCTTGTGATTGCTTGATGCTGCCGTTTTTTCATTTTCGCTGCTCCTTTCCCCAACACCCACACCAAAAAAAAATAATAATAATAAATGTACCATCATACCAAGCAATGGCCCCAAAAAGCAAATAGATAATCTCGACCATAAAGCTTCCAAGCTGGATAATATGTTGACTATTTTATGTAAAGATAAATATAAAAAAATTCCGTTTTTTAAAGATAATCGACTGAACGTTTTTTTGGCTATGAGAAGTGATGAGTGTTGAGAATCTTAAGACTGACTGATTTTTTTGGTTATGGATTTTTCATATGTTAAATGGCTGATTTTCCGTTTATGTGCAGGAGTCGAGCAAGAGCATTCAGGTAGAAGCATTTCATGTTTTTAAGGTACACTATCTATATTGACACTGGCTACTATATTATGAAATTAGTAAATTGTCAAGTTGTCTGTTGGTTCTTTCTGATTGTAAGATAAAAATTTTACAGTTATTTGCTGCTAATCAAAATAAGCCCCCGGATATTGTCGGCATTCTTGTTGCAAATAGAAGCAAGCTCCTGCGTTTGTTTGCAGATTTCAAGTTAGATAAAGGTAGAAAAGTAATGCATTTGGAATGATAGTTGTGTTAGGTTAGTAGTCTTGCCAGTATTCTGAATATTAATTAATTAAGTTTGTATTGATGCAGAGGATGAACAGTTTGAGGCAGACAAAGCCCAAGTAGTTAAAGAAATTGCTGCCCTTGAACCCAAAGACCTGCCATGAACAAGCTCAGTTGTACTTGTAACTTTGATGTTTTTCCTGATTAGTTTGTGAATTAATAGTGTGTTTTCATGGTGCTTGACACGGTGACCTTTTCTATCATTAATAAAGTGTGTATATTTTTATTCCTTGGTATATCTATCTATTAGTGCGACTTTGTATTGCACAGAAGAATATACTTTTTGGGGGAATAGGGGAAAGGAAGAAAGAAGATGATAGTGCTAAGCGCAATACTGTACCCTTCATGGCTGAGCTGTCATATTTGTATACCTTGAAACAACTTAGGTTTCATGGTTGAAATTTCATGAATTTATTATTATTATTATTATTATTATTATTATTATTATTATTATTATTATTTTAAGTAGTAAAATATAAGGGACGCATTCTTTGTATGAAAACCTAACGTTCGTAGTAATGCAATTCTTAAAAAGCATTAAGAACCAGTTGAAGAACCCAATTTGCCAATTTTGTTCAGTTTAATCGCTGAACATTTTGGTCCTATTTTATAGGTGGGAAAGAATATTATTAGGAACCTGGAGAGATGATGGTCTTATCATAAGTGAGGTAGGGTAGTTGGGCAGTTTGGTTGTGGTGGTGGTGGTGGTGGTTTTGATTTATAATTTGGATTGGGCACTTTTTATTGCTTGATATGGGCAATGTGAAGTACCTTGTGATTCTTGTAGCTGACGGAAATTATTAGAAATTTTTAATCAAAATAATTTTGAAAATAGTGTGTTTTGATTTATATAATGTCAAGAATGTGATAAGAAATCAATACTACTATGGAGGGAGAGAGGAAAAGTTTATTTATACTCATTTCGTTAATTGTTAAAACAAAACTATTCAACAAGTTGAATATCAAGTTTATTAGAAGAAAAAAAAAAAAAAAAATCAAGAAAAATCAAGTGAAATTATTAGCATTAGTTGCAAATCAAAATTTAGTAAAGAAAACGTGTTATCAAATATGTTCTGTCAATCATACAGAAAAATAGTATAGGGGTGGTTGCATTTTTAATGGCATTAAATATATATATATATATATATAATATGCACATTCGTGTATTTGTATTTTTTCATTTTTATATTTTTATGCCGAAATTTTAAGCAAGAAAAGTAAAATATACTAATAACTATAGTTGCACTAAATAATGAGATGAGATTTGTTTGGGTTGAGACCATTCACGATGACCCATCACACTACTATGCCATTAGGGCCTGTGATTATGGTCCTAAATTTTTAACACCCACTAGTCCCAGACCCAGACCCAGACCCAATATAGAGAACACAAATGACCGAAACAGAATCTAAGATGGGCAGCTGAACTCTTTCCTGCCGGAGGTTTGGTTTTGGACAGCTGTGGGGCTTGCGGGCTCATTCCACACACACACGTGATATCATTTCACGTGGAAAAGTTAGTACTCCGATTTGTTTACAAGTAAAATATATTCTTTAGATTTTTATTTTAAAATTTTCATCTTTGGTAATATTTTAGATCGAGGTTGAGGTCAAATTTATCGGACGGAGACGTGTAAAATATTTTGTTAAAAATTAATAATTAATTTATTTTTATTAAATTTTAATAATTTTTATCACCATTGAAATTGAAAAATTAAAAATGAAGAAGGTTTTCAGAAAGAAAATGTAACACATTTACTTTGATAATGTGACTTATTATTTCGATCTAAAATATATCGTATTCTAAAAGTAATGTTTGCTTCACGGCATTCTTAAAGTAACGACGTTACAAATATATATATATATATATATATAATATTAAAAAAAAAAAATGACGCTACGCTAGGTTTTGCTTAGGGTCATCACTCTTATCGACTAGATATTTAAGGCTTTGCAGGGCCTGCAACTGACAATTTATTGCCCCCAGCGATCTTTAAGGCATGTCAGTATTGTCAAACTGCCTTAACTCTTGAGAAATGGGTTGCAACATGGACAACAAAAAGATATGATGGATCATCTTCCACTTAGAACTAACACACGAAAAGATTTCTTGAGACTTTTTTTTTTGGCCGAATTGTTCTTTTCAACAAGACTAGTTGTAGAATTGGCTATAATCTTTTCACGTGTACACGGAGGTGAGGGCTCTACCAGCTAAAAGTAATTTTTCATTTCACTTTTTTTGTTACAAAAATATATTAAGTTGTGTTTAGCAATATGAAATTATAATATTGAAATTATAATTAGTAAAATTTCATAAAATACCTGCCATACATGGTCTTATAGATTTTGGGCCCATTAACCTTTTAACGAGGTCGGCGCGTGTTATAAGTGAAACTTGTTCCACATCGAATTTAAATAATGGTTGAAGTGTGTATAAATGAGTAGGTATGTAATATTACCTAATAGTTTAACCTTTTGAATAAATGGACAAACGTCTACCCGTTGTAATTGGTATCAGGGTCAACTAGGTCTGTCCCTAGATAAGTAAAATGGTTCGACCGCAATATCAAGAATTTCAGTGTTGTTCCAATAGGAGTTGAAGTCCATCTTTTGAGTGAATGGACAAACACCCCATACCAGGTTAGGGGCTTAGGCCCCATGCGGCCCGTTTGACGCAAGCTTTTTGTCCGTAATCAGTAAATCCGTGTTGTCTCTCTCTGTCTCTCCCCCCTCTCTCTGTCTGAGTCTCTCTCCCCTCTGTGCCCGCTTCTTCTCCCACGAATTGCGAAACCAAACCCTAGTCTGTCTAAATCACTGAACCGTTAATTCTCTCGATTATGCTCTATTCATTGATGCATTGTTGAATCAACACATTTTCTATATCCTCTGTTCATCGATCCACATTTGACGGTTCTGATTTCACATGTGATTTGATCACAAAACTAGAGAGACAAAAGGGAAGGTCGAGCAATAAATCATCAAAAGGTTTGTATATTTAAATTTTCATTCGTTTATTTTTAGTATTCATTTTTTTGTTTTGTTCCTCTCTTTTTAAGCTCAAATCTCTTTATTTGTTTAAATTAGGGTGTTTATATAAAGCAATTGTGTGTTTTTTGTGTTTGAATTGTTAAATTTTGAATATTTGTTTGCAAGGTGTTGAATTGAGATGTTTGATTTCTTGTTTTTGTTTATTGAGAAATTGAATTTTGCAGAAATTCTAAAAAAACAGCACTTGGTTTTTCAATTTTTGAAGAGGTAAAATAATCAGCAGGGTTGTTAAGCCTTTCCTTTGTTTCTGGATAATCATCAACCTACATTTCGAATTACTCGATGTTATAGAGTCAATAGCCAGAATATTGTATGTAATTATGCGTCAATTGTATTTGATGCCAACATTCTTTAGTCCACAAACAAATGAGTCTGGATAGAGACAATGTAAGATGCATTAAGGACAGGATTTGTTAGAAACTGTTATTACTTTGTCATATCTATATGTTGGTTTTCAAGTGGTACAAAAAAGTATTGGTTCTTCTGTTGGAGGATATGGGAAAATAAACTTATGAAAAAATAGTGGTCACAATCTTTTACCAACCATTTGGAAGCTTATAATTCATCAAGATGCATACTTACATTAATCTTGGGGGTGAGTGCTATGGTTGCCAAGAAGTGCCAATAAGTGACTGTTTGCTAAATTTTTCAAAAGAAAGTATTAGTGGCATAAAAAGGTAATCATAATTCATATCTTACAGACAGCGTTTACATTTCTATCTTATGCTGTGGTTGTTAAACTTGATGGCTCTACATACTTACTTGGTGCACATGCTACCCTGATTTTTTTTCCCCCTCAAATAATTGATAGCTTTGATTATAATTGAAAATTGCTATAGAGATTAATCAATTATATGGGCATGCGTCAAAGGACTTGTGTTGGAACTTTTTGTAGGAAACTTAGTTGATTGGTACATTTTTCACCATCAATTACTGGGTATTGTACAGATACAACACAAACAATTTCCATGCAGGAGTCATCTAATGCATTATTATTTATAGGCTTAGCTTAGAAGTGCACAGCGAGGAGGGAGTGGGAGTGCAAGCACGGGAGGAGCGAGGGTAGGCACCGGAAGTCCGGAACAAGGAAGTGCTTGGTTCTATGGTGCTAAAAAGGTGTGGGAAATTTAGAAACGACTTGCACACTGCACGCACACACTTACAGTGGCTTGTACGTTCACAGGATCACAGTGCCACCCTATTTCTAGATAATTTACTTTGCAAGGAAGGGTTGTTTTATGAACAATGTGAAAAAAGAAGGAACATAAAAAATTATTACTTCTGAAGAGGTTTTAATACTCTGATGCTTTCTATACAATGCAGGTACCTTATGCTATCAGCCTGTCACTTTTTTGGAGTACCAAATTGGTAACTTTTGAAAGTGCAAGTACCCTTAATTTCTTTTGGGGGACCATATTGAGATCTTCCATTTAGAAAAAGCTCTGGTTTGATTAGCATAAGTGGAAGAGCGGGTTGGAATTGGGGGAAGTCACTATCTCAGGGTGGAATAGGGGAAGTAACCATCTCTGGTTAAGACCAAACCATCTTCACCTTCATAAGCAAAGGTATTCCTAGATCCCTTTCATTCTGCATTTAATTAACTGTACAGCAACTTTGTTCTTATAATTACCCTGCTTTCCGAGTTTTTTCTTTCCATTCTCTCACATTATTTAATTTCATTTCCTTGTCGGAATCCGGAGAAGTTCGATTTTATTTTATTTTATTTTAATTTTTTTTTTTCTCAGCCATTTATGTCCTGAAGAGGACCCATGATCCTGAAGGATATATACTGGTAAATATGGTTCTCTAGTATTGTACAAGAATTGGAAAATGGCATTTCTTTCCGGGGAGGAACAAACTGAGGATTACCTTTTCAAGATTGTTTTGATTGGTGATTCAGCTGTTGGGAAGTCAAACTTGCTTGCCAGATTTGCAAGAAACGAATTCTATCCTAATTCTAAATCAACTATAGGAGTAGAGTTCCAAACCCAGAAGATGGATATTAATGGGAAGGAAATCAAGGCACAGATCTGGGACACAGCTGGTCAGGAGCGGTTCAGGGCTGTAACATCTGCATATTACAGAGGTGCAGTTGGAGCTCTGCTTGTCTATGACATCAGTAGGCGCCAGACATTTGATAGCATTGGCAGATGGCTTAACGAACTTCACAGTAAGGAACTTCACTGGTTTTTGGTCGATTTTGTTTTATTCTTATTTTCCTTGTGAGGAATTGTGTTAAGATCCATTAGGAGGCAGTTTTGTTAACAAGGTAGTTTTGCTCAGATGTGAATGATTAACCCTCGCATATGATGAATCAAAGAAATCTAACTTCAGCGTCTAAACAAAATCTTAATGTGTTTGTATGCATTCCTTACGGATCTAGGTTATTACATTACATTTATACTTCACTAATTCGAGGAACCAAGGCCTGATCTGTGTGGTTTGTTTATTGAACAGCTCACTCTGACATGAATGTAGTTACAATACTTGTTGGCAATAAGTCCGATCTTAAAGATGGCAGGGAGGTTTCCACAGGCGAAGGCAAGACATTGGCAGAGGCACAGGGTTTATTTTTCATGGAAACTTCAGCCCTCGATTCCTCTAATGTTGCTGCTGCTTTTCAGACAGTTGTTAGAGAGATATATAATATTTTGAGCCGGAAGGTAATCCAATCTCAAGAGCTCAAGAAACAAGATCCTTCCTGGACTGGGAATGGAAAAACTGTTGTTTTACAGGGTGATGGGAACCAAGAAACTGATAAGCAACTAAAAAAAGGTCGGTGCTGTTCATCCTAAAGCTGTGTTATCAAAACAGTTCTCCATTTTCTTTTATGTTGGTTCTCTGAAGCCTAAATTTTTTATTTCTTAAGTTCTCAACATTCGTCTCCCACATGTAATTCAAATTCTTATTATTGTTGAAATGTTGGTTCAAATGACTTTTTTTTTTTTCTTTTTGTGCTATGAAATTCGGCGTAGAAATTGTAAATGACTTGAAGGGGATATAAAAAAGGATGATATTGCAATTTTGCATGATCTTGTTTTCGCTGTTCCATTTTGTAGTGTTTGGTATGGAAAGGAATGGAGTCATAAGAAGCTAGTGGATTTGAGTAATGTTGTAACTCTGCCCATGTCTTTCGAGATGATCATCTAGTTACTGTGTTGTGATCTTACAGGTTCAAACAAATTAAATTCACTTTATGTATCTTTCTAGCCCATGGAGTGATTTAGGAGTCTAAAGATGCGCATATATGTTGTAGAGTACAGATGCTCAGTAAAGTGTAAGAAACTTCCCTATAAGTCCGTCATTATTTCCTTCTTTTTGAAAGCAATGATGTCGTGCTTGGTGTGGAGGAATGCAAAGGAGAATAAAATGAGAATGAGACCAATTTAGAATTTAAAATAGAATAAATTTCAAATTAAGTTCTTCAAAAAATTTCTCTTAATAACAAATAAATTAAACAAAATGACGTTTTTCTATAATTTTTAAAAAATAAATGGTGGAAGTGGCGGTGGTGGAGGTGGGAAACAGTAGTGGTAGAGGTAGAAGGCAGCAGCAATGGTAGTGGAAGACAGTGGTAGTAGTGTGGTAACGGTGGCGAAAGGAAACAATGGTGTAGGTGGTAGTGATAGAAGCTAATAGAGGTGACTATAGTGGTGGCGGTGGCGATGGTGGAAGGTGGTGGCAGTGGCGATGGTGGAAGGCGGTGGCAGTGGTGGAAGACGGCGGTGGTGGTAGAAGGTGGCGGTGGTGGCAGTGGAAGGTGATAGCTGTGGTGAAAGGTGGTGGCAGTGGAGGTGGTAGCTATGTGAAAGGCGGCAGCAGGGGTTGCGGCAAAGGAAGGAGGTGTCGATGGAAAGCAGTGGGTGGTGGTGAAAGTCGGTGGCGGCGGCGGCTGTGGTGGAAGTCGGTGGTGGTGAAAGGCGGAGGTGATTGTGGTGATAGTCGATGGTGGTGGTGGTGAAAGTCGATGGCAGTAGTTGGTTGGTGCTGGTGAAAGGCGAAAGTGGTTTGGACTTGAACATGAGAGATTTTTTAGGAAGTTGATTTTTTTAAAAAAAAAATTTACTTGGAATGGAATGGTCATTCCATAGGTTTAGTTGTGGAATAAATTTTTTCATTTCAATAAGATTGTCATTCTCACTTTAAATTACATACTAACAAAGGAACGGTTGGAATTAAATGATAGAATCCTTAAACTCTTATTCTTAATATCTCATTTCCAGCCTTGGGTCATAAACTTGATGGAAATTTTCAATGGTTTAAAATGTTACGAAGAAACAATTGCAAATATGAATGCTTGTGAAACATCACCCCCACGCCCGTGATGAATGAAGCATGGACAGAATATATGAGCAATTCCAACTGAAGAAGATTAACATATAAGTTTCTAACCTTTGCTCCACATCATTTACTTTCGAAACATTGCCTCTTTAAACTCTCCGAGTTCTCACTCACTCGTCTCTCATTCAGAGTCTCGCATTATGGTTTTTGAAGTCAAGTCAAGTTCAACATAAAAAGAACTAGTCAATGCAAGAGTCTCTCGTCATTAGAGAGCTTGGAAAAAGGCAGGTGCCTTACGCGCCAAGCCAAGCCCACCCTCTCAAATTTGACATAATCTATTTGTAAAGATGCGGGTACGGCTGATAATTAAAACTCCAGGTGTGTATTTTTTAAGCCTGTAGAGCTTTAGCTCCAAGGCTTTATGAAATGGAAAATGTTGTCATGAATATGCTCTCCATGAGCTCTTGGATCAAAGTGTGTGTGAAGAATTCAAGCTGACGGTGAGCTCGCACGATAGGAGAGAGAAGAAAAGGCTGATGTAGTAAATGTCATTGATGGGTCTTTCAATCAATTGGGTTTACACATGGACCCACCCTACACTGAAACAGGCTTTTTTTTTTTCTTTTTCTTTATTTTTTTCCGTGAAAACCTATAATATTCCTTCTAGGTTGGACCACCCACAAGATTCCTTCTAGGTTTAGAATGATTAAAATGATTTGAAAACTCTTGCAAAAGCTATACATATGTCATGGAGTTTGGATAAGTGTCAAAGTGGCCATAGATGTCGGAATTTTTTGAGTAATTCTGCTTTAAAATATATATATAAGTAGGACATGCTTACGACTGATTTAGGAAAGTCGTTCCCTTATGCTCCATTTGTTGGCAGCACTTTAGGATCCACTGAATTGTGGGTCCTTTCTAATCACTAAACAAGGAGCCTAAATTCCATTCAATGTAGTCCAATCAAACTTAAAATTTTTACAGTGAGTGTGCAAGTTAACACAAAAGTGATAAAAATTCAAGTATCATGGAATGGGAATTTTTGTGTTAAAAATTCAACTATCACGAAACGGAAACCGAAACGGGAATGGGAATGGAAATGAAAATGGAAATGGGAGCTAAGGTTATGCAGAATATGAATATTTAAAAGAAAAATAATATTTAGTAGTAGTCTCCTTATATATAAAATAATAAAATTGAATGATGGTTCAAAGAAAATTTCACTTCTTGTCATATTATTCGAGAAAGGGTTAAAAACTGTATTTTAAATGAACACCTCAAAAGAAGTTGCATATATTGGTTGATTGAACTAGTCAACTAGGCCATAATTTATCATCATTCCAAAATCCAAAGCTAAGTCACACAATCTTTCTCAATAAGTGTTGCTTTCACGCTCTGAGTGGGCTCTTGTTCTCATGCTCCACATGCGTTCTCGTTCAAATTCTCACTACTTATGACTTAATTATATCGCTCTCACACTCCCATTCTCGAATTCGTTCTCATTCCGACTCGTGCTTTATGTAATTTAGATCCGAAATCCAAAGTTGAAAATAACTTAAGTTACAGATTCGAAAGTAGGAAACTTGGTTCAAAAGTGATCTCCATTTCAAATATTTAAAGATGCCTATCCGACGAATAAATAGTACCAGGTTGAAAAAAAAGAGTAATGAGGCTAAAACTAGCTGGAAAGAACGTTTCTGTAGTAACCAATATTTTGCGACTTATTTTGGGTACCCCAGATGAGTATTCCTTGAGAGTTTTTACACTAATAAACAACCATACATTTCATATAATCTGCCAATATTAATAAATAAATAAAAATTCCACTTTACCTGACAAGAATTGGCAAACTTTGCAGGACATTACAGCATGACAAAAATGAAAAGAAAAATATATTAATTTTTATGTATCCTCATGTCACCAGAGATGCATTATACAGTGACCTCAGTATATACTGCTGCTATCCGACGTCGTTACATCTCAATTGTATCTCAAAAAAGACGGCCTATATTCAAAAAACTCAAGCTCAAATCTTACATGAAAACCTTTGTAACTGCTCTCTATGACAAGTTCTATCAAACAGGTGATCCAATAAGCTCTATCAAATGTACTTCCAAACTGAAAATATGTCATCATGTTAATATACACTTCTTGGTATGGTTGACTTGATATTTTTTTCTTTAATAACCTTCTCACACGCAGATAATAATCTTCTTAGGTAGCGATTCCTGAAGCAAATTATAGCAAAAGCACATCAATACCATAACATGAAATTTTAAATAGCGCGGTGTCTAAATAGCACATTGAAGCAACTTGTAAGTTGGGAAACAGGGCAACAAAAGGAGAATTATTATAGTACTTTGTGATACTTGTTTCTACCTCTGGTCAATTTTACTACATGTTGATTTAACTGGAATTAATCTGATCTTCTACCATATAAGGGCTATCAAGTAAAACTTTTTTTTTCTTTTGAAGCTCGAGAGAAAAACTCTATCCCAAAATCTAATTGCTCCATATTTTGTTCTAGTTGTAAGTTATAGTAAAATTATTTAACAAAATAGATCCAGTACCTCTGTTACAATTTATGCACAGCTAAAAATAAAAAGAAACACATTTTGGAATTTTCAAGGCTACTTGCATGCAAAAAATAAAGACATTGAATGGACAAAAATGGAATGGAATCTACTTGAAATCTACTGTTCATGAAACTGTGTCTAAAGCCTGCATTCATCTATGACCTATTTATCATATCACTTTTTTTTTTTTTTTTCCTAGTTGGTACTCACACAGCCCCCCTCAAGGAATTGTTTGTAGCCAAGAGGATTCGAACATTAGACCTGATGCTTCATGAGGCACCAGGGCCAATTTATCAGATCACTTGAACATGCATGAATGAGAAGAACATAGATACTTACAGCATGTATGCATGCATATAGAGATGATACAATATTTTTAAACCATCTTATCCAATCATCTACCTCTATGCTTTATTTCGGTTGGGAGGTTATAATGAATCCATTATGTCATCTTTGTGTCACAAATTGTAAATCAGTAGTTGAGCAAGCAACCGAAATGAACTATTATACACATTTAGCCCCTAATAACTAAATATTGGATGGCAATTTACTAAACCTATCGAGAAAGCAACCGAAATAAACTAAAATTTAGCCCCTAATAATTAAAAAGTGAGTGACAATTTTAATGAAACACATTCTCACATCAGGTTGCAAATACCACTCAATGGGAATAGTACTCAACCCAAAAGGTCTACTATAGGTACTTATCAAAAAAAAAATAATTAAAAAAAAAGGTCTACTTTAGGAAGGTCCTAAAGAAATGATCCCTGAACATTGGTAAAATCAGTAGGACTATAATGTTGACAATTTTTAAAATAAAGGTAATTTTAAGATAACAATGGGAAAATCAGTAGAAACTAGAATCTTTATATCTCGATACAAACCTAGGTTTAAGACACCATTTTTGCATGCCAAGTAAATTTATAAAAAATAATGATATTATGCAAATGAAATTGGGAACTGAGAATAAGAAAGACCAACTATCTTTTGAGAGAGAGAGGAGGAGAAGAAATTTGTTACCTCTATTTGATCTGTTGGTAATACAACCATTGGCATATGCATTGGAGATTTTAGTCATAACATCTTTAGTGACATCCCCAAGCCCATAAACATAAGAACCAGAGCCTTCTAGTTCTGGAGATGATGACCTCCAAGTAAAGTCTTTATACAAGTTCCCTAAAGCCTGATCAATAGCATCTCTCGAAGCAACATGAGTTGTTGGTACGGCACTGCTTCTGCTGTTTCTTCCATAAGCTCCTGCTCTCAACCGAGAACTGTTGTCTGCACTACCAAAACTAATGTTGCCGCTACTGTAGGCTGAAGCAGTGCCTCCACCTTGACCTGTAATAGGAGAGGAACCCCAAATTGCTCCTAGACTTCCAAAAGCACCAATCAATCCAGAATTCCCACTTGCAGAGCTTATAAAATCGATGGAGTTTGCAGACCTTGTAGCATAACTAGAACTCTGATTTCCCCACATGTTCCAACTAGTAGAACTTGAAACAGAACCAGTTCCACCACTACCGGTACCATACCCGACCAGACTACCGTACCTGTTTGAATTCCCACTATAAGAAGGGTTTGAATCACGACCATAGCAAGGACGAGGATTGAAGTTCCCACTTTCTGCATGGCTTGGACTCAATTCTGGCTCAAAATTCAGTCCCATCCCATAATCAGAAGGACTAAATGGAGGATATCCACTTCGGGCAACTGTAACTGGACTTGATCTACCATCCATTTTTATTCCATAGCCTCCAATTGAGCTTGGATTATATCCCTGAGTGTAGGGATTGAGGAAACTACTGACTCTACTCAGGTCATGGCTATATCCACCAAACTGACTCCGACTTGGTCCCGGAGATAACTCCTTGGGAACAGCTCGCTTGACCTCAACCATTTTACCATTGAGATCATGAAAGTTTTTGAGCAACACTTTCTCCACTGCTTCCTCTGAATCATAAGTGATAAATCCAAACCCTCTAGGCCTTTGGGTGTTATGGTCATACATCACCACGACATCTGTGATTGTCCCAAATTGATCGAAGTATTTCTTAAAGTCACTCTCTGTGACTGTGGATGCTAAACCTCCTACAAAAATCTTTTTTGTACGGATAGGACCTGGGGACCCCTGAGTGCAGCCATTGTTTCTGTTCAGAATGTGCTGATCATCCCTAGGAACAGCTTTCTTTGCCTCAACCTAAGAACAGAAAGCCAAAAATGAAATAATGTAAAAAAATACAATTTTGCATTTACAATTGAATAAGGTATTTATCTTAAATGAGGATTTCCTTTTCATAATTAATTTAAGTCAGGAACCTAGGTAAGTAAAGTTTTGAAATTTGAATTTTTTTGGAACTTCTCAAGGTTCTCCTTCTTAATTAAAGAAGAACTTTAATACCTTATGAAATCATTGAAGCAGGATGGAGATTTTTGAAAGCTTATAAATAAAAATGACAAAAATCAACACTTGTCAGACTCCCTTTGCCACTCTCTCATATAGACATTCCGTTCCTCGCTGTCTCCATTCATGCTCTATGAGCATGATTCAGCAAATGATTACATGCCTACTATATCTGCAATCAACAGATCCTTGTCCACCCAATCCAATCTAAATTATAAAACTAAAGTATATGAGTACCCTCCCTAAGCTAAAATCTATTTTAGACTCTTGTGCTCCCATCATCTGCTTTTTTTAATGGTTAAATCCTTGTGAAGGGATTTAATTTATATACTTAAAGTTAGTTATTCATTGCCTTGTGCCCTTTTCACTCTAAGCTTGATTCTAGAATTTCTAGGAGCATCCTACTAATGGGACATCTTACTACTGTTTATCACTACATAGTACAGAATTAATTTTGCCATTTTCAAATGCACTCATTGTCTTTACCAAAATAAACCTTTTACATATTCTCAGCGAAAACCTAAAGACACTTTGCTTGAATAACAATTATGACAAGTAGCTAATCAAACCCTACCGACTTCCACACAGAATGAGCCTCCAAGGAAAATGAAGAGAGAATAATTTTAGTTTTTCACATTGTTACAAGTAAACATGGGGCGGATCATTTGTGTAAACATCATTTTGATCATGGTGCTCTTCTTAATTATCTGATGCACATCATGCTTCAAGAAAAAATCGTGCATGTGCTAAACAAAGATATATTTGATCAAAGTTCAAAATCAAAACACAAGTTTATTTCAAAAATACAACTTACAATTCTACCATCTATTATGTGCTTTTCCTTAACGACTCTTTCGGCGATGGTGGGATCAGCAAAAACAACAAAACCAAAACCACGGGCACGTCCAGTGTTCCGATCCTTCATTATCACAGCTTCCACTACTTCTCCAAAAGTGTGGAAATACTCTCTCAGCCCATCTTCATTTGTGTCCCAAGAAATCCCACCTATGAATAGTTTTCCTCCAAGCTCCATTTCCATTCTGCACACTCCAATACCAATAACCCATCAAACAAATTCAAAAAACAAATCAGTATCCGTTTATTCGGCTTCAGGGAAAAAAAAAAAAAAAAAAAAAAAAAGGAAGATCGGTTACATCAATTCTTCATCTGAACACATAAAGCCCAGAATCCAACAAGAAATAATTATACAACGGATCCAATAGGTAACATATAAATACCCAGCAATAGAACACATATGATTGGATGAAAGCATAAACATGAATGATTGAAATCCCACTTCTCATAATTCTATGAAAGTATATAATCTAATAACATATCCAATAGCAAACATCAAAATGTAACTGCACAACAAAAACTATACCTTATCAAACAATTTTCCAGAAACTTGGAGAATTTTGATTAGTTACAAAATGGGCATTATTAGATTCAATCAAAGAACATCGGGATCTCACGCAGACTGAAAATCCACATACCAACCATCTCGGGTTCCTAGAAAACCAAATGAAAAAAATAATAATAATAATAATAAAAAACCTTGAAATGTGATAAAAATAACCACCACCCAGAACCATTTGGCAAAAAGCAAAGCAAAATTACCAATCGAAGAAGGCCCAGTAGATAAAAGAAGAGAATCTAAGATCTGAGAGGAGGCATAACAAGAGAAGAGGGCGAAAGACACACCCCCTTTTCCTCTCTCTCCGTTTCTACCAATCTACTGTTGATTCAATGGGCAATGATATTATGAGTTTTTATTAAGTGCAATTGGAGAGAGAAAGAGAGAGAGAGAGAGAGAGAGAGAGAGAGAGAGAGGGAGGGGTGTGTGAGGAGATGGTTTTACATCCGAAATGGGTAGTGGTATAAATAACGGATGGAGAGAGGGAGCTTTGGCTATCCTCTCGTGTGAGAAATATAGGACGGAGACGATGGAAGATGGTCACTTTCCACTTTTAGGTTTGATTTAAAATTAGTTCTAGTATAAAAATTAATAACGTTACCTTTTTTGGTAAAAATTTGTTTTAGTTTTTTCTACATATAGAAATACAATCCCATGTTCTATCTATGTATTCATTTTTCACACCATTGATTCGGAAACATTTTCTGTTATACACTCTCAAGCCTATTCATGTTCATAGAAACCTCTACAACTCTTCTTATTAATCTTGAAAAAGGCTATGGTTTTGCTTTTTCGATTGAATAACATGCTAAGGATAGATACATATTATATTTTTCTTTTATTTATTTTTTTTATTTTTGGTAAAAATACATAATATATTCTATGGTAACACATCGTTTTGCATATAAATTAATAAATCATTAAGCGGCTAAGCCTAAACCTACCATATGGCATACACCATCTAAAAAACAACTTTAGAAAAAGAATTTATATTCTTACTTGATTTTTTTTTTTTTTTTCTCGCACTATTTTCACTTGAATTGAAGAGCTAGAGACACGTATGCTAAGACAAATACATAATTTTATTTTTATTTTTATTATTTGAAATTCATTGACCAGTTTTATTTTTATAGAAACTTATACCTTCAACTTTTTAATTTGGAATGTAAAATGATACTACTAAACAGCAGAATCAAAATTTTCTTAGTTCCAAATAACAATAAAAACCAGTAATGTTTGGCTTTCATTTTTTCGGTTTAATTTTTAATTGCAAATTCATATCATGTTTGCGTTATGTGGAGGCGAAGGCTGATAAAATTATCAAACAATGGTAAATATAGAAAAAGTGGGAATAATTACAAATGTTTGAAAATAAATAAGAATATGAGACAATTATTACAATAATCACAATTTATATGGAGGTTTTCAATATAAAAATGAAACAAAGTGGGATATGTGTGGAGGACAGAAGGGATTGCTTGTGCGCCCACTCGTCTAAATAATGGAACAGCTAGACACATCAAAATTCGTTTACATATATATACAAATGTATATACACATATATAAAATTCATATAACTTGCAAAAAAATTCTTGTACTGAAAATAAAATAAATAAATAATTGAAATCATAAACTTACGATTTCACACATCCTTGTAATAAAATTATCAGTCAGTATTTATCCCAATTAGAATCAACTTCAACCCATCTCATTAAAATTTACCCAAATGAGAAAAGAAAAAAACATCTCATTAGAGACGAACTTGTTTTTCATTATTTAAGAATACAAGTATGACCTAAAAAATATTAAACAATTATGAAGAGATTTTTACACCAATTTTAAAAAATAATAATAATTAATTAATTGGTAATTATCTGTTAATTCTAACAAGCCTTCAGTAAGTAAGTTTAATCTTAAGAATTTGTTGTATTCTGATTTGGATGTATGGCAATTTATAGAAAGGCATGACACTCCAACATGTGTAAGACATTAAAACGTTCTCCGTGCAATATTTTAAATTGACTCTCCATTTTTTTAAAATAATAAGCTACGTTACCAGTTGTGCTCACGTTATTAAGGCTGGCAATTCGTGTTTGTAAGTCATGTTCAGACCTTCTCGATGTAAATGTATTATACTAAATAAGTAATCTTTAACACTAACCCATTTAATAGCCGTATCAAGAATTCTCAACACTAACCCAACCCCGTTAATTAAACAGATAAACGTGTTAACCCGTTTAATGATCTATTTATCAAAACGAAACATTTAATATTTAATCAAATATTAAATAATAGAAAAAAAATTGTCATAATTAACCCAAATATTCAAAATAAAAAAAAAAAATCATAAGGCATAGACAATGTTTTATGTTGAAATGACTTAATTATTCATAATAATTAGGTTTAAACAAGTAACATATTACATAAGTCATATTCCCGATTATAACATGTTTAGTCAAATAGGTCATAAACGGGTTACAAGAGTTGAACCCATTAACTCTAACCCGACATGGTTAAGTAAATGGGTTAATCGTGTCAACCCTTTTATGACCCAAAACCGTTTATGCCAAACCCAAAGCCTTTTAACTCGTATTATGTTCGTGTCGTGTCGTGTCGTGTCGTAATGTGCCACCCTTACACGTGACTATCCACTTTATTTAGATATTTATATCTGATGTTGTGGGCATTTCCATATAGGAACCATATTAATATCTTCCACTTTATTATGCATGTTATCTTCAATCTATTCATTTTCTTGGTTGAGGGCCCACCATTTTAGGCCTTTGGCTTTCCATTCCATTCACCATATTTGGAGAATGAAGGGGAGAACTTGGTGTAGGCCCCATAAAATGGAGATGCCCATACCAGACCATCCAAGTCTCCAAATGGCTTGGTATTATTCATTTGGAGAACGGGATTGGTTGATGTGGGCATCTCTACTTGGTGGGGGCCACACCAAGTTCTCCATTCTAATCTTCAAATGTGAAAAATGGAGTAGAGAGTGAGGCCCAAAATAGTGGTCCTTGCTGTAAAAGTGAAAAGGTAGAGATAATAAAATAAAAAGTATGATGTGAGCTCCACAAAGTGGAAACCGTATCATCTTTTCCTTTTTCGGTATTTTTATTTATTTATTTATTTTATTTTATTTCTTTTCCGTCTTTAGGTCATGTGGACCCAAGACCGAGTCAAGTGTTCAAGAATGGTTCCTGACACTTCATTCATTTCATCCTTGCATATTTTACCCTCGTGTCATTATTGATTTGTATTGCACTTGTATGCATTTTGAACTCTTGTTACTTGGGGGTATTTGTGCGATTATGTTTTAGGGACATTTTCATTTTTGAGGCTCTTTGTGTGAATATCTTTTGAAAATATTTTCATTTAGGGCAATAATACGATTATCTTTTAGAGATATTTCTTAGAGGGACTTTTGTGCAATTAAGAAAAAGTTGAGACAAGTGTCTTGTTTTCATTAGACCGTGTGTTGAAGGGGATTGGTGACATGTGAAGAGTTAAGATGATGACAAGTGGATGGTGGTGTATGAGAGAGGTAGTGTTAGGGTAGGTTTTGTAATATATATCATTTATAATTACACATATTTCTCCTAATCTTCTTCTTCTTCTTCCTTATTTTTTCTCTCTAACTCTATTGGAGCTCCACCTTATACCTTCATTTCCTCCACTTTGTTTCCACTTTTTGGGTTAGCTCTATAAAGGAAAAAAGCTTAGGGACTCCATTTGCAACAAAACACTTTCCTTGAATTTTACACTTGAGACATTTTCTTCTTAGATTCTAGGGTTGCTTTCCCTAGTGAGGTCAGGGGTGTAGTATAATCTTAAGCTATATATTTCTTTGTGTTTTGAGATATGTTGCATGTTGTGCTCGTATTGTGTGAGGTACGAGAGTATCTAGCATACTTTAATTCATAACATAGACTTGTTTAATGTTCTAAAGCATGAGGAATGTTGCAAATGGTTTAAATTGTCAATGTATTATGAATTTGTGGTTAGTTTCGTTGACAACAACCTTTAAATGCATATATTATCATATAGCCTCATACGTATAAATTGTTGTTTGATGCATATATATTCATTACATGGTGAAATTAATGTGTGGATCATTGGATAATTATTTGAGAGCATGAATTGATGATTAGATAGGTTATTAGCGTACTTTGCCAATAAAATGATTGGTAATTTACACAGACCTCCCCTATGGTTTGCTATAATTACATGTGGCACCCTTCCTATTCCGGAAATTACGCAGACCTCTCCTACTTTTTAAAATATCCTACACGGACCTCCCTTATCTGTGATGGACCGTTAAATACACTAACGGAGCTGTCGAATTACTAAAATACCCTCTCATTGGCATCTGAAATTACGAAACTACCCTCTTATGACATCAGCTTCTTAGTTACACGACTATACATTCATTTGGAGGGAAAACTTGCATTAATTATGTCTGTTTCCCAAAGCAGCGTCTTTTCATCTGGCTTACCAAACTGGTGCGTGTATTGTGAACACTTTGAGAGAGAGAGAGAACGAACGAACTTTTGGTTAGGGTTTGTGCATTTGAAGGATTAACCAAAGATCGCATCAACAAAGGAATTCGTTTTCCATATTTGGCAACAAATCCAAGTTCGTATTTGCAAGGAATGAGTTAGGGTTTATGCATATGTGAATCTGAAGTGGTCTGAGGTACGTGAAAAGAATTTTCTAGTCGGTATTTAGGGTTTTTGTTTTTGATTACTCTCTATTTAGTTTAGGTTATGTTAAAATTTATACTCTGTTTTTAGGGTGTGTGTATTTTTTAATAATTCTGTATTTAGTTTAGGGTATATGTTTTTTATTACTCTATATGTAGTTGTTTAGGGTTTTGTTTTCTATTTATTGTTAACTTTATATAGGCAAATAGGGCTTTTATAATTGAAATTATGTGTATTTGGGAGTTGTTGTTCCATCGTATTGATTATGTTAAATTTAGTTAATTTGTGTTTATAATTTATATTTTTGTTATAATTTTAATTGTTATAGCGATGGAATCAATTCATGATATTGCTGTTCAGTACAAGTGGAACCTAACTTTTATAACTGGTGTGGATCCGGATTTTTATAGCATCATTGATCTTGTTAAAGTGTAACAGCAGTAGCTTTATCTCATATTCCAACTACTGTCCCTTTGTCACTGTTTTTGTCTTGTGTTGTTCCTGGGTCTTCTGCTAAAATGAATGTGGATAGTGATAAAGATGTGCTAGAGATGTTTAAAGTAAATGTTAGTAAGAGTTTGATAGACTTGTATATTGATAAGGTTGTGACTGATGTAAGTCCTGAATTTGCCTCAATTGAGACCATGGAGTTTGAGGATAGGGAGTTTGATGATAGGGCGTTTGATGACAATAATGTCAATGACAATGATGACACTAATGTCAATGACAATGATGACACTAACGTCAGAGACAATAAAACCAATGTAAATGAGAACAATGGAGGACAGCCTGAGGATGAGTATGATTTGGAAGATGATAATGATGTATTTGGGTTTAGTTCTGAAGATGAGGAATGGGAAAATAGTGGGAAGGGTAAGAATCCAATTCACAATGATGATGTGAATAAGAATGTGGAGGAAGAAAAGAACCACAGTGAGGATGGTATGTCAGACTATAAATCAGGAGATGAACCTGGTACTGAATCTGACAATGACATGTATGTGGAAGAAGAAGAGTGTGAGATAAATGTTGAACAACAGAAAACTGAAACAGCAAGGGGTAGGTGCTATGCAATCTGTTTAAAAGGAATTCCATTTGAGAGAGGTGTGGATGGAAAGATTAAGTTAGAAGAAGGTCATCTATTTCTCAATGTGAACCATTTTAGGGATATTTTGGTTAATTTTTGTGTCCAAGAGGGATGTAATATAAAAGGAGTTAAAAATGAGAAGCAAAGAGTCACTGTAAGATGTGCAGTTGAGGGGTGTCCATGGAGGGTTCATGTTTCCCGTTTGGTAGATAGTGTAACTTATTAACTCAAGACAATTAAAGGTCCACACAATTGTGTGAGGAATGGCACTGTGAGGGATGCAACATCCACATAGATTGCTAAAAAGCTTGGGCAGAGTATAAAAGACAATCCAGGGGTTCCACTTGATGCATTGCATGCAACAGTGATGAGCCAATTCAAAGTTGATGCAAGACCCATGCAACTATACAGAGCTAAAAAGAAAGTTATGGATGAGTTTGAGGGAAACCATGGGGAAGCATACACTTTACTTCCTAAGTATGCTAATAAAATTTTCAAATCTAATCCTGGTAGTATCATGAAGCTTGAGAGGGATTTGCCTACTATGACATTTAAAAGAATTTTTATGTCTTTAGAAGCTATGCAATCTGGATTCAAGAATGGTTGCTGGGGGTTCATTGGATTGGATGGTTGTCACCTAAAGACCCCTTATGGTGGTGTGCTCTTGTCTGCTATAGCCCTTGATAGGAAAAATGGCCTTTTTCCACTGGCTATGGCTATGGTGGAGAATAAAGGGAAAGAAAGCTAGAAATTCTTCCTTCAAGAGTTGCAAACTTTTGTTGAACTTGGTCAGGATAGACATATATGCTTCATGTCAGATCAGCAAAAAGTAAAAACTTAATTTATTACATGTAATTTCTATATCTAATAAATTACATGAAATTTACATATCTAATTTTTGCTTTACTTGTGCTTAGGGTCTTGAATAAGTAATGAGGATTGTTTTCCCACATGTAACCCATAGGCTATGTTGCAGACATCTATATAACAACTTCAAAAAAAGGTATCCAGGATTGCTTTTGCAGTCATTTTTCTGGAAGGCAGCTAGAGCCTATAATGATTACACATTTAATGAGGCAAATGAGGGAGGTGTCAAGAGAGGCTTATAATTGCGTCTTAAGAATAGATGCGTGCAAGTGGTCAAGGCATGCATTTTCTGACCAGGTGAAGAGTGACCATGTCACTAATAATTTTAGTGAGTCATTCAACAATTGGGTTGGGAAGCTTAGGTCTAAACATATTTTAGGGTTACTTGATGGTATTAGGAGTAAATTGATGAGCAGACTCCTAATGAGGACTGAAAAGGCAAGTGCTTGGGTAGGATTGGTGACCCCAAACATTAGGAAAAAATTGAATAAGTTGATTGATGAGTCTTGTAATACCCCTAAAATTAAAAAGGATAAAATTTAAATTTAAATTTCATTCTATGTGCATTTTTGTCTATTGATTTTGTAACTGTTTTTTTGTTTGTTTTATTTTAAATTGTATTTTAAATACCTTATTTGGTTAATTATTTAATTGTCTTATTTTCTTTATTTGAATTATGGTTTGTTTAGTTATCTGAGTTATTATATTGTTTATTTTATTTTAAATTGTATTTTAAATGCCTTATTTGGTTAATTATTTAATTGTCTTTAATAAGTGCTTAAGTAGAGGTTGAATTAACAGTTTTCAGTTAGGGTTTCTTGGAGCCGTCATACAAGTATTTAACGTGTATGTGACTTAAGTTTATGGGCCGACTCTAGTTTAATTAGGGTTCTGCCTTAGCTCTAGTTTAAATAGGGTTTTCTAAAGGCCTATATATATACATGTATGAGTTTCACTAAGGGTTTTGGAAGAACCCTATTCACGGCACAGTAAAAATAGAACGTAACAGAGAGAGAGTTGAAAGAACAGAGACAATGGTAAGAGCTACCAAGGACAAGAACAGAGAGGGTCAAAGGAGGGTTGTGGTGGATTAGATCACACCCATAGGAGGCTTGAAGGAAGTTAGTAGTTGCCGGAAACTTAAAGACGACGCGGGGATTTCATAACTGAAATCACAGGCAAGTTCTTCTCTTTCTCATTCTCTTTGGCTCGTGTTCTGTGCACCTAGATAATCTCTAGGGTTTAATCAATCAATAACTGGAATTTATATGTTTAATATATGTTATATAAATGATCTGTTTGTCGTAAATTCAAATCTGTTTACAGTTCATGTATTAACCGCTCCCAGTTTTGTTCTTAAAAGCATATTAAGTTCTGTTGTAATGTTTGTTACTGTACTTGCTTCCATCTTCTATAAACGAACCATGGGGATATTAATGGGGTGATAGAAGACCTTAGGTTCAGTATTATTGAGGAACAAAGGGGTTGGAATGGAGCTGTGGTTGCAAAATAGTTCAGTGTTGTCCCTAAAGCATGTCTAGTTCGGTAGTAAATTTGATCTATGTAATTGATTTAAATGGTTAAAATCAAACCTTTGGGATGCTAGTGGATATTAATAAGACCCTTAGGATCAGTTTTTGAAACCAACTGAAGGGCAGAAACATGCTGGAGAAGAAGCAGAAAGTCAGAACGGAGTAGAACCGGGACAGAGGCTCTCAAAGGAGGTGAGAGCCGGCTCCATGGATGTGGGAGCCGGCTCCCATACTTATTGAGCCAGCTCTACATTCTTAGAGCCGGCTCCAGGCTCAAAAAAAGAGCCTGCTCTTGGAATTTAGAGCAGGCTTTTTCAAATAGTAGTTTTCTGAATTTTTTTCTACGAACTGTTTGGATACTGTTGGAGCATGGGAACGTTTCTGTTGACTCTGGGTTTTACAGAGGGATTAGAGGGTTGGCTTTGAGAGTTATTAAGTCCTTAAATTGAGCAAGGTTGACCTCTAAGTGAATGAAATTAACAGTGCGCTAATTTAACAATTGTGCGTACGGTTAACGGTTGGAAGGAGATTTGTTGTCTAGTTTTAATTTGACAACTTAGGGTGCTATATAATGATTCTAAATGAAGATTAAAAGCACAGTGAAGTCTTTTAAATTAATAAATTGGACTTGGGGCATAGGGCATGCCTCTGTGCTAAAAGATAAGACAGAATACAAGTATACAACTTAGTACGCTATTACCGGATGGAAGGAATTAAATTGCTTAAATTAATGTAGTGATTTATTGGACTATAATATGATTATAGAATTTATTTTAATGCTTGATAGAGTCATTGATATATTAGATTTGATCTATGTATGCTCTGGATGGTAGTTGCTGAATTATTAATTGTTTCCTGCAACTTTATGGTTTAACTCTTGGATTTAAATTGTTGAAATACTAAATACTCTTCTGCAATTATTTAGGAGGGTTTTGGATTGTAAATTGCTAAACTGTTAATTATATGTTGTAATTTACATGGTTTGGATGTTAATTGTGGACTCTTATATATTATTCTACAATTAATTGGATTATTAGTTTGAACTGTACATATTGTAGTATCACATATACTATTCTACAGTTATTTAGATATTTGGTTTTGGACTGTAAATTACTTGCTGATTATTTATATGTTGTAATTTACATGGATATGGAGGATTGTATGCACCGGTATGGGACGGTGACATACAAGGTATAGTTTAGCTCAAAACGTTAATTCATACCTTATGGATTTTGATTGGTGAACAGTTTTATCTGTTTAATCAATTATATGGATTTTGTGGATTGTATGCACCGGTATGGGACGGTGGCATACTAGGGACAGACTGATTCAAAATAACTCAGTCCTACCTATTTTGGATTAAGGGTTCGAATTATAAAAACATAATTCTCCTTATATTTAAGTCTGTGCAGCTGAATAAGCTGAATGACTTATTGGATTTCCTATGGATGGATATGAATGGATTTTAAATATATGTTTATGGTACCACGAAAGGAGCTTGAGTCTCAGACTCGTTGGTTAGGGTGCGTATATGCAGTGGATGCGTAACTGGCTTTAGTAGATTGAGGTGTACCCTGTTAGGTCTAGGTACTCATGCCCACCTTTGGGTGCGTTTTCGCTTGTTGCCTTCTATTCAGGTTGAGACCCCTACTATAGTCCAGTGAATGTCCCTTAGTGTGGATATATCTATATGTATGGACTAGATAGCTATTGTTGAGATATCTAGGGTGTATCTGCGTATCGAGTCACTGTTTGGATTGTAGTTAGAGTAGAATTTGCATGTGGGCCTGACCCACTCTTATTTTTACAGGTGTTCGTTAGTTCCAGACTTAGAGCTGGATCGTGCTGAGCAGATACAGTTATTCACTCCACCGATGACCAGGGTTTTATTTCATATTTTTGACTTGGGATTCATTTCCAATCTTTTGAGTTCAGTGAGATTTTTTAGGGGTCCACTAGATGGATTCCCGAGTTATAATAGGAATGGAGAAGTAGGATGTATCAGAATCATTCTTTGTTAATTAAATTTTATTATGAGATTTTTGGATTATTATTCTAGTTTCTTTTCAGCAATTTATTTATTTTTTTTTTTTTCTTTTCTTATTTGTATTCTGTGTTCGATTATTGCTAATTGATTTGATATCCTCGGGTTATCGGGCGTGGGCCTGGCCAACCCGCATCCGGAAATTTGGGAGTATAACAAGTCTAGATCGTGTTATGTTACCCTAGCCCGGCAAGATGAGTATGAAGTCATAAATGAGGAAGGAAAACATATAATGAAGCTTAAATTAAGGTCATATGATTATAGAGGATGTCAAATTTTTGGCCTCCCATGCAAACATGCAACTGCAGCCATAACACACAAAAGAACAGATATTGAACAGTTCTGTGATCCATGTTTCTATAATGAAACATACATGAGAACTCATTCTAGTATGATTCACCCAGTACATGATCAGAGAATGTGGACTCCTGTGTATTGTAACCCTATAGAACCTCCAATTCCAAGGAAAAAGCCTGGCAGACGAAAAAAAACCAGGACTAGAGATGCAGATGAGCCTGCAGCTGCAACTAGTGATGCTAGAAAAACAAATCCCTGCAATACTCACAGTGTGAAGAATTTGGGCACAACAGGAAAACATACAAAGTATGTCAACCCAACTAGGTAAATCACTTATAAATTTTTTAATATTAAGTCAAAAGTTAATGCCCTTTAACTGATAAAATAACATTGCTTTCCTTTTAATCACAGACAATGAGGAATTAAGGTAGAAAAACCACTGCAAGCACCAACCAAGTTGGAAGAGGGTGTGCAACCTCAAATCAATCAAGAAGCACCAACCAAGCTGGAAGAGGGTATGTAAGCTTAAGGTTAAATCAAATAGGAAAATGCATTGCAAACACCAACCAACCTGGACAAGGCTCTGCAACATCAAATCAACCAAGAAGACCCAATGCAATCAAATTTCAAGTTCGAAGAGGAACTGGAAGAAGCAGCCAATCTGGAAGGGACACTTAAAGATGAAAAAGAAGACAGTTGAAGACGCAACCATAATATAGTTAACTAAATTATTTTTGTGGACAATTTATGAAACTTTTGTTGTTTAAGTACTTTGTGGGTAACTCAGTTGTCCAAAAAGAATAGCAGGTATATGGTGGACTTTATGGAATTGGGATTAACTTTTGATATAGCTTTTGGTATAGCTCTTGGTATAGCTTTTGGACAACTGTTTGGACAACTCTGAATTTTATTGCTAAATGATATGGTATGTTTTTTTGCCTAACTTTGTTTGTGTGGTATGTTTTATGGACAATTGATTGTTTATATAGGTTGTTTATAGTTATGGGT